ATAGAACAATTAAAGTTTTAATGCACACCTTTTTTTTCTTAATAAAAAAGTCTTGTCTTCGTTTTATACAGGGTGTAAGGACGTCGTAACGAATACAGAAATAGTGTATTCAGACCATAATCCTAAGTCGAAAATCATTGTAATTTTCTGCCGGTTTTTTTTTTTAAATTCCATTTTTTTTGGTTAAAAATGATATCACAATTAGTAAACAGAAAAGAAAAGACAATAAATATCTTAAATCACAAAGAAAATTCTTGTTATTAATATTAGGGATTATTTTAAAGAAAATAAATATATTATAAAATCAAGAAATTATGTTTAATGATCACTTTTAAGTATTACTGGCTTATTATAATATGATTAATTTTTAATGCATTTATTATCTATCTAGGTATCTTAACAAGGATATGCTGTTTATTGAGAAAACCACTTGAAAGCGGATGGACATAATAGGACTAATACTTTAATGTTGGTTTTATTTCGAATATGGTTTGTAGTCAAAAAAAATGAGAGAGAAAAACCAGCACGTCGAGATATTATTATTCGACCAAAACTGTGAGTGGCTATTTCACTGAGATTTACGCACCCAGCGGAGCATATTGTGCCTTAATGTTTTTCTGTCATATTAGTAGAATTAAATGTAATATATGTCTAAAGAGAAAGTTAAAATCTTCCAGGCGGCTTGACTTTTTCCGATATTTTCAAAAGTTATCGTCATATTTCAACCAATTTACACGAAACCTTAACTAATCATACACCTAAACCTTCCTCATGAATCACTCTGTCTATTGGTGTCACATCAAAAGCCGCTCAGTTTATCGCGTAGGTACAGACGCACCGGAGGACTGTTTTATAATATGAATAGATAATCATTGATATTTCGACATCAATGCACATTTTTACATAATATGCCGTATACAGAGATACAGTAGCCATTTTCTTGACATCGACTTAAGGACTCGTGAATCATTATAGAGTGAATAATTTTAAGTAATTCATAATATCGCAGCCAGGACCGCACCGACCCCCCACAGCGCCTCTGTGCGAATCCTATGCAGCGCCTCTTTTTTTCACGAATCTTCATGTTTCAACTTATTTTTTATAATTATTTGTAAATGTTCTCCAGTTTTATATACTTAATATTTTCCTAAATAGGTTAAACCAGTTCACTTCCGCTTGCCAATTATTGCGAAAAATAAAACACGAATTAAATTTTTACATACTTTATTTATGATGTTATATCTAATTGTATACTTAAATATGAATAACAAAATAGCTGACTTTTTTCTAATAATACTGATTTAACTATTACGTATGCTATGTTTAAAAAAAAACAACAAGAGTCAAAAATGTGTAAGAATATAAACATACTTAGGTAAATGATATTATTTCCACTCTTCTCGCTTTTCTGTTTGCGAAATCCTTCATACTTTCGTGTATGCTTATATGGTCTGATATGGCCTTCTCTATGTATATTGTTGCTAAATTTGTTAGTCTTTCCTGGCTCATTGTGGAGCGAAGGTAACTTTTTATAAGTTTTGATTTAGAAAAGGACCGTACCGCGCTTGCTACGCAGCCATGCCAATCCAATACACTGTAACTTTTGAAAACTACTTGAGATTTTTGACAGTTAACGTTTTTGATAATTGCTTTTTTTATTCATTACTACTCAATCGTGTACAATGTTATGTATGTATTAGTTAGTTGTATGTATGTACTACATAGCTAAGTACTATTTCTTTATTAATTCACTAAGAAAAAAGATATTGCCTTGGGGCAATATCTTTTTTTGTATATAATATGTTAATACAAGTTAGTACTGGTATTGACATAGATGATAGATTTGCCAAGTCTTAATGGTACCAGAACAAGGCAAAACACTGTAAAACCAATTAGTGTTTTGCCTTGTATAAACGTACGTAATAATTTTGCCAAAACACTGTATCTTATGCATCCCCCTCTGGACGGCCAAGCTCAGAACACTATGCATTTGGGCGTGGATGTCTAGGCTGCCCCGCTTACAATAGGGAGGGGGGGGGGGGGTCAAACTGCGCTTGACAAAATATCTGGCCGCGGCACAAGAGCAGGCATATCAGGTTACCCCCACCGCGCTTGACGTTGATTTCTGCAACACCAGGGGTCTACACTCTAACCTCAACGCTGTCCACCACCTCCGAAACAGCGAAGCCGACCTTGCTTTTTTTACCCGAAACGCTGTCATCTCCATCGGATACATCCTACCTCTCCTACCCTGGCTATCATCTGGAACACTCCTTTGTTGCTAGGGCTGGAGTGTGCGTGTACGTTAGAGATGATATCAGTTTCCGCCGAATCGGCAATCTTGGAAGACGGGACCTCTGCATTTCCTTACCTTACTTTCCTTGTGGGAATCGAACCCATAATGTATCGATTGTATAAAATAAAACAGTCACGTCATTTATCCGCCACATCGAAATCGGTGCAGGCGTTTCGAAGATTAAGAGAAGACAGACAGAAATTAAAAAAGAAAATGTTTTATTTTGACATTACAAACATACTAAAGTTATATTTATTAGTATAGAAAATTACATAAAAAGCACATACCACTACATGAAGCGTTTTTTTAATTCATATTTTATAATACCTTTATCGATAAAATGACTGGTTCCTGTCTCTAATGATTCTTTGGAAGTGGATGGTAGAACCGTCAAATATTTACTCGTTTTAGTTGTATTTTTATCACGTTCTTCTTGTTTTCTTTTCCTTATTAAATTATGGTAACCAGATAATTTCTTTTTTTTAAATCTTGATTACTATCACTCATCGTAAACACACGTTAAAACAATCAGTAACACACAAACTAGATAATGTTTTAGTGCTAGAACTTATTCTTATTAAAAAAAATTAATGCGCACCTTGAACTCACTTTCGATTGAATGATTGTTCAATTGTTTTGGCTCTCTCGTTCCTTAAAGTAGGCGAATCCCCGTGATTCGCGCACGCATCGCATCGGGTTGCGTTCATGAACTCAACATGAACAAACGCACGGCGGTTCTTTTAATTTTAACACTGAGCTCGTAATTAATGTAAACTAAAACCCAAAGCGTAAAATTAAAATACAGACGTGAATATAGACTTGGGAGACTTGTACAATAAGCGCAATATATGTTTTGTTATTTACATGTTGCGCCTATTGTACCTACTTATCGATACCCCACTACAAAGAATATGTTGTTGACAGTTGTTGTGTAAGTGTAACAAAAATAATTTCGATGGCAGTGCCCCTATTGTCTTAGCGCCTGTGTGCGCCTCACACTTCGCACACAAGGCGACGCGGCTCTGATCTTATCTTTTCTCATATCGGTAAAATTATGATATCATAACATTACGGATATATATTACATTACCTTACTTATGTCAATTGACTTAATTTATATATTTTTAATTAAAATTTACTTAGGAACACGGTAGTACCAATAGCAGAATTCGCTAAGTCTAGCAAAACGAAAACAACGGCCAGGCCTTGCCATCCGTGCAAGTTCGTTGTGGATTTAAACCTGAATATCTAGTTACCAACTGCGCACAATGTAACATTGTATTCTCAAATTTCAGTTTAATTTAAAATTGCTGCTTAAAAACCTACTATTGCATGTCACTTAGTCACTGATATCAAAAATATTAGGTAGAAGCATCTGCTACAATTTTTTTTTAATTATTGGCGTTCATAAAACAGGATCCACAAACTGTATGAGTAACTTTGTAATCTTAATATAAATAATTTGCAATTAGAAAGTTAGTTTCGACGTTTTATAATTTTTCCTCACTTATACTATCAAAATAGACAAGAACAGACAAACGATGTTTCGTTTAATATATTAAATGTAGTTTATAACAATATTTACCTACAATCAATAATAATAATAATAATAAAGTAACAAGTGCGCGCATATTATAAACTAATGTTGATTTATATGGTGCAATCTAAGGCTTATTGCAGTGATTAACCATAACGGACTCCCTACAAATATAATATGTACAAAATATAATTTCGTGTGAGTACATAAAACATAAGACAATGCAATTTCTTTTCTTAACTTTATTTAGTCATTGATTTAGAAACCTACGATCGCTGTTCCTTGTTATTACTCGTACTTTGTTTATTTTTATATTATGCTTACTAAGTGGACTGTAACGGTCTTGAGTATAATAAAGTTCTTTAAACCTATAAGAAATGGGATCTCGTATGGAAAATATAACACGTTAAAGAATGCTACCTCCGAAACCTAGTTTCCCTATCGCAAGAATGGTAAGAACCTTTTATTGTTACTATGTCAATACTAGATATCTTTCTTTAATAAACAGAATGAAATTACTAATTATTTAAGGACCTCTCTAATTAATCACAGTTTTATTGCATTTAATTTTGTAGATGGTGATTTCTCACAAAGAGTAAGTAGCGCATAACTCATACAACTAAAACGTGGAAAGTTACTACGAGCATTCTTTGCCTAGGCCTCAGTTAGATGATGCGAAAGTTTTCTAGCGACTGCCGCGCGATATCCACGTGGTCGCCTTATGTTGTCTGTCTAGTTTACAGGTGTAGTTGCCAAAAAAAAAAGTATTTTGCTGTAATTAACGTGGTGTCTACAGGCACAAGACGTAGCTGCACGAACACACACTAGCACGATTGCTGCTTCTAATACACATACAAATCATTAACTCTTCTTCGTCTTTCCTGTTTTTATGTGGTCATAGAATTTCGTGCTACCTACATGTGACGGTCTATCGAAACTTAGTTATATTGCTCTTCGTTGTGTCACCCCACGGGAAGTTAGGGCAAGGCTATTTTCATTCATGGTGAGTCGAAATGATTGTTAGTAGGAGGGTGGCGGCCTGATACTAAAATAGGGCAAATGTATATCAATGACCACTTGCCATTAAAACAGGAATTGGCCTAACAAAATCTGATGAGGACGGTATATTTTCTGTTCAAGATATTTAACAGGTAAATTTGTTCTCAGATGATGTGACTGTTGCAATATGCCCCGGTATCGGGAACACGTCAGAGAGTGTGTACATTCGAACCTACGTACACTACTCGCAATGCCACGGATATCGGTGCGCTGTACTAAACCATATTGGTGCTTTGAACAGCGTACCGGTCACAGGACATCGTATCTTTTCGTATGGTAAGTTGGTTTAGTTGAAGCTTATCCAAATTTAATTACTTTAAGAAAATGTAATTAAATAGGTACCTACTATAAACAACCCATGTTTAATGGTTCAATATCAGTGTGTGTAGTATATTACCTTCGCACTTTAGGCATATAACAAAGAAACTGCTATCCTATTAAATACATTAGTTATTAAACTTATGTATTTCATAGGATGACAAGTTTGTTTGATTAACGATATTTTTAGATATAAATGGACTACAATCGAAACTATACATATAATCGATGGTGTTTGGCGAAGTCAAGTAAAATGGTCGTATTTAATTTATCCCTTTTTTTTTTTTGTTGACGGAGTGGAAAATCCCTTCGGATCTCCGGCTCCTTGGGGATATAGGAGCCAGGAGTATGTCTTGATTCCACTAAAAACCACTCCGACGGCCAGCCTTGGGCGCCCTGCTCTGGGGAGAACCCGGGCCATGTGATTTCAGGTCCCCCAGATCGACGCCGCACCTAGCTAGGTCCCATCTCAGGGAAAGCCAGTGGCTTCTCCCTGCCTCTCAGCCTATCCAGATGTTGCAGCCCGATCACATTTTCAGTGGGATCAGGCTGCCATCCTTTACCCTACCGCAGCAATTAATCTGCCACCAGAGGTCCCCACTCTCTGGCGGCCCGCGGTCCCGTCGGCTGCTCATTACGTCGTCGACGTCTTATTCGCTCGGGATCGGCCCTCTCCCGATCCCGTTTAGCGGTCTCTTTCTGGAGCATTACAGCTTCACAGAAACAGACCACTGCGCTCCAGCCCTTCTCACCCGCCAGCATGGCAGTAATGATTGCTGGCGGGGACAAGTCTCGTCCGATTTCATCGACCAGGACTTCGCGTTCAGATGCCCACGCGGGGCAGTCTTCCAGCGTGTGCTGGGCGGAGTCCCAGTCGGCCGCGCAGTGCTGGCATTGTGCCGTCTCCTCGCGTCCAATCCGATTCAGGTACTCACCGAAGCAGCCATGCCCAGTGACCACCTGCGTCAGTCGGTAGGTGACGCGACCTCCCTCCCTTCCTACCCAAGCTTCGAGGTTAGGCAAAACGGCACCGACAGCACGTTGGCGCGCATTCCGCGGCTGTTCCAACCGCGCGCGCCACTGCGCCAGGGCCTGTCGGTGAGCGTTCCGCCGCATTTCGAGCTCGTCCTGATCGTTCCCGCTCTCACCCAGGCGGATCGCGCGAGTCTGGTCGTAGACCCTAGCGTCCATATCCGCCAGGATATCAAAAGGCGGGAAAGACAGGACTGTCGCCGCCTCCGACGATATGGTGCGGTATCCCCGTACGATCCGAATGGCCGCTACCCGCTGCGCTTGATTGAGCTTAGCTCGGCAGCGGGAGGAGGCCGATAAGCGCTTTGCCTATATCGGCGCTCCGTAGAGGGCCATGGATCGTATCACACAGCAGAGGCGGCGAACTTCCTCCTGCGGACCCCCCAGATTAGGCAATAGCCTCTGTAGGGAGCCCGCGAACTCGGGGGATCAACCGCTTGAAATGCTCCTCGAAGCTCCAACGGCTGTCCAGGGTGAGGCAGAGGTATTTGATGTACCGACCGACCTCGACCTCTGTTACCCCCACTCTGATAATCGAGCGGGTGGGAACTGCACCTCTGCGTTTCCTATGGAACCACAGGGCTTCCGTCTTATGAGGTGCAACCCTTAGACCCAGACCGCTGATCTTTTGGACGACACAAGCCACATTTAATTTATCCCCTGGGAATAGAATAAACACGATGGTATATGGTTTGTAATTTACTTTGAAAAGCTGAATTATAACTGAAAAGATGTAAATATTCAAAATAATTTCAAAGCAAGGTCAACATCGTGTTTAATTAATTTTCAATGTCATTTTTTTTTGTTTTAAAATATTTTTTCTGTTTTAATATCTAATCTTGAAAAGTAATCTTGATTAGTTCTTTATTTTTAAATTGTAACTTAATGTAAATTGATATTTAATATTTATGTATTATATTTCTGGTGAGGTGCTCTTTTAGTTATTATATTGGTAAACAGCGAAACTCGTCATGCTTCTAAATTTAAGAGTTTTAACCAGGCTTATTTGCAGAATATTGTTCGGGATCGTTCCTATATTGCGTGGCCCATTCAAAGGGCGGAGGCGTGGTGGCTCTCATAGCAAGCGCGTGTATTATTAAAGATAAATAAAAGGCATTTTTTTTTACTTTCTGTTTGTAAAAAATGATTTAAAAACATTACTACGAGAAAAGTGAAGGGGGGGGCCTTGACATATAATACGGGTGGTCACCGAGGGAGGTAAAAAATGGGCCACGTAATAGGAGTACGTTCCCTTTCTTTCCGTCTCTTATCTAAGCAGGTAACCTGTAATTACTTTTTAATCACTTAATACATCTAACAACATTGTAAAAAGGCCACTTTAGTTAAAAACCTTCCTCGTTCCTTAATCTGGAATAATATTGAATACGCAAATAGTGCCCACTATTTCCGTATTCAAGTTGTGGAGATGAGTGGTGGAGTTATATTTAGTTGTGAATTAACATCAACATCAGATCCTTTTGAATCGACAAGTACCGTGTAATCTTTCTACCTCGAAGTAAGTTGGCCAGAACTTCCCTTATCACACGGTACGTCACGCTGTTATGTTGAAATGTAATTAATATATTATGCACCAACAATAGTTCATTTGGACTTAATTTATGGAATTGGACCATTGATAAGCCGAGTTTCAGCTTTCTATGAAGTTAGGGCAATAAATCTTACAATAGACACATCAGCAAAAAATGTTTGTAGTAATACCGAGGTCATAGACGTAATAAAATTATCTGATCATTGATATGTATGAGATAAAAGAGTTACATCAAATAATTTTGCCAACTTCCCTAGTGAAATATCTATTCATTCTATATACTAGTACAAAGGTTTGAAAACCTATTAGAGCTTAGTAGATAAATTGTCGCTTTGCTAAATGTTTATATTAGTTAAGTTGAATGGAGGTTTTTGCAGTTTCGAATAAATGAATTCGGTTTCACACATTTACCTACAACATTACAACGTACAGCATCTGTCAATTTTCACGAAAAGATCATAGCGGTCGACAGTATTGTGTATGTTAGTTGTAGTTGCTACCAGCGAACTCGAATTCTCTACACATTTGAAACTACTATTAAAACAGCCATACGATTACAGATATATTACATTTTGTAGTAAAACTTCTTTTACTACAAAATGTAATAGTTTTCTTTAACAAAGAGTTTTAATATGATAAAAACATGTTAACACTTCACATGTTATTTCAATAAAAATTATCCTACATACCAACTGTGAAGTATTTCAAGTGTAATAATTATCCTTTCTTCAATCGATATTTTTCAAGGTGAAATGTCTATATGTCTGTACATATCTGACTCTATTTCACTGCTTATGTTATGTTAAGTCAAATGCATGCATTTATGTAAATCGATACGTAAAATTGATGTAGTACCTACCTGCAGTACGGATGAATCTTCTGGTAACCAACAAGATATCGTTAAACCTTATAAATATTATAGCGATAGTTTCCATTTACATCTTATGTATTGCAATGCAATGAACGACTAAAGTTCGTTACTAAGAATATATTTAATGGCTCATGTCATCACGGTTAGTGTAACGTGAAAAGGCAACCGACAGACAGACATTAGTTTTTTTCATAGTTTTACTATTAGTTTAGTAATGGAAGCCTTGATTGTATTCAGACAATAGACGCCCCTCAAATAGACTGACTCCTGAACCATTCGGTTCAAACGTCAGTCATACATTAACACACACGTTTTGGGGGCACATTGATGCACATGTTATGGCGCACATTGACTAAGTAGTAAAACATTTTACCAGGTTACCTGCATTTTTAATAGTTTTTTACAAACAATAATGTGCCACTTGCACGTATATAATGTAGCCGTTAATCAGTTAACTCTCTGACTTTTGCTTTTGCCATCTCGTCTCTACACTACCTACCAGCGTAAACTGGAGAATAATGCCATTTGGCATTAAGTCCTCGCCATGCCATGTAAAATGTATTAAATAAATAACAGTATAGTTCCTTCGTAGCTCTGTTTACATAAATAATATTCCACTTTTTTCCAGGACACACAGATGACTATAATTACATGATAGAGAACCTTCTGGAGCGTTATCCAAATACAAAATTAATTCTAGTCGGCTTTAGTCTAGGTGGTAATTTGATAGCTAAATATCTTGGGGAGGAGAGAAAAAGACCAGCCAACATCATCGGTGGAATTTCGATATGTCAAGGATATAATGCTATTGAGTGAGTTATATTTTATATTCTTCTATTTATTGATGTATGCATTTATGCTCGGTTTATGGGAATGGCAAAAACGGGTGAGAACATGCAAGTGTCGCTGATGTGACGAATATAATATTTATTTATTATATTATAGCAGTTAATATTTATATTATCCATTACCAGTTTTGGTCAGGCGGTTAATGTACCCGTTAGCAATTCCTGTTATATAAAGAAAAATTTACACATTGTTTTAAAACCGTGAAAGATATACTTAGTAATTAGCTCGAAAAAAAACGGTATTATTATAAAATTAAGGATAGACTGGGTTGTGTGAAAGGTCGTGCTTTATCGCCGTCTTCTATCAAAGACAAAATGTTAAGGGTTTATTCAGAACAACTAAAGTTACCAGACATCGTAAATTAGCGAATGAATGTAAATACATAAATTAAGAATAAGACAGAGTTCGTAAACTTTCTGAGAAATACCAAATATGAACTATTTACAGGCTCGATAATAAATCGAGCCTGTAAACAGTAGAGCGTAAACGTAGCATTTAAAAAACAATGACAAATTTAAACATCTGAATATCTGACGTGTAGTCAGTTAAATGTTTCATTGTTTGTCATTGTCTTTTGTGAGATGTATAATATTTTATTTAAAAAGATAAGTGCACATTTGGAAAAATTAAAACCTTTAATTTGATTGATTACTCAAGACTATACACTCGTAGAAGAAAAACATCATGTCATTATACTAAAAGCATTTTTTGTGTACACACCTATGGCTACGTAACAGCATAATATGATTAAATGACAAGTCGTAAAATCTTAACTCCAATATATGTTGATTCCTAAGTTTTCAATTAATTAATTTATTTTTCATTTATTTTAATCATTTATGCATAAATGAGAATTCTACAATGGCGGACCTAATGCCAATGAATATCGTAATTTCGTCTATCTCTTTAGCTGAGGCTGGTCTCAGGGTTGAAGCATTCGTACGCACGTTGTATTCGCATGTAGGCCACGTTTTGTCTATCCATCGTCTAGAGCAAAATTATCGTTGACCCTGATGTCAATGCATCATCCAATCGAGGGTATGATAATAATCATTGTTTAACTGACATGTTCCGTTGATTTCATCGCATATAAGCACTGGCAAACGACGAGTGAGTTTTCTATTGATGCAATTTTGCACACGTACACATCCGTACAGATCACCGCCTAAAAGAGTGTATGAATTCATCTGAAGCAATACACAAGATATAATGGGAGCAATAGTCTGCTTATAATAATGTATATAACACAATTAACTTAATTGAAAACTTGAAACACATTATAACAATCTTTCAGCTGAAGAAAGTGTTATATTATTTTTTTATCTGACGCATTCACATAATGTGCGCATCTTTCGGCATATTGATTTTGTATAAAATTTACAGAAAATTCACACTTTCAGTTTAGCATACCTAATGCATATTATCAAAGGCGAAATACACTTAGTTGCTGAGTTGGCTGGAAAATTTGCGTACTTTGTACAACACTGTAGTTCTTAAATATATTTGCAGTCATTTTATTTTGTTCTGAGAAAATGTTTTACAGTATAAGCTGTTTAGTTGAATGTTTTGCTTTTCATGTTTATGTTTCGTTCTAGTATGTTCATTAATTATAATATTTCATATGAGCGAAAACATATATGTGAGGATAAATTGTGATGGATATCACCACAGAAGATTTCGGTATAATGATGACAAAACATTAGACAAATCTCTCTTTACGTACTTGTTCGCAATGTAAGATGAAATTATCTAGATAGTACATCTACAGTTAACCACGATGATTTGATTAGAAACACGAATGCCAGATATTCCTGGCAGCTTCTGCATTTAACAATTCAACATAGATTCTGACTTTAACTAAGGGCCAAACGCCAGAAAGAGTAACAGACGAAATTCCGGTAAGCGGTATGTAATTTGCCCCCGAATCGATAATAAAAGATTATCGGAATTCATTTTCTAGTGAAAACTTAATACTATTAACAAAGAAAGCTACATGTTTTCATAATTCAAAAATGTCTTCTTATGTGGCCAGACGTGTTTGTATATTTCAAACTAAATGAATCTTCATTGATTAAAAATATAACATAGAGGTAAAAAAGTGATTATTGTTATGTGTATATTTAGGCGTAAAAACTAAGTTACTTTTCCATATATATTAGTTATAGAATAATCTGTTATTATGAATCAACTTGAAAGCTAAGTGTTGCGCCAGTTTGTTAACTATTGTGATTGTTAAATTACTAAGTTAGTAGTAATTATATATATATATATATAATATATATAACTTCAGTGTAGCTATTTTCAAATTAGTTGCATATAATTTAAAACATATCCTTAAGTTTTTACATTCTATATTATCATAACACCTTCGACTTCAGCTAAAAGGTTTGACGATGCTTAATTGGCTGCCAAAAAATTACTAGAACTAGGATTATTAGTAAGCAAATGGAACGTTTATTAATTTCGTCTAAAGGGGCCTACTCACAATAAGCTCTTATTATCACATAGCTTCAAAACGTCCGATGATATCATTTACTCAGGAGGAAGTAAAAGAGGGTAATGACGCATGCATAAGTAGCTACATAGATTTATATCATTTACAGTCTTGCTTTAAGATCTATTAAAGGCCATTCATAAGAATCTCATATATTTAAGAAAAATACAGTTTTTTAATATTTCAACTCATATACGAGTAATATTCTGAAAAAAAAACAGTAAAACTTTCGGATAATCATTTTCGTTAGGAAACAAAACTTTACAAATAGTACTAGAATGTGGCTCTATTCATCGTTACTTTAATGTATAGGTTTGACTGGTTACGGATTTAGGAAAGGTTATAGTTCGTTACCCTTGTCTGACCACAAAACCTAGAAAAGAAATAATAAGTCTAGATCGATAATGTGGCTATAAGATAATCATTCTACATCTGACCTCGTAAACGCCTACTTTTTTATTAAGAAAATAAATAAGAATTATAATAGAGTAAGAGAAGTATTTAAAACTTCAGTTGTTGGTGGTGTAGTGGTATTATTCTAAATAATGGGAATGGGAGATCTTACTTCTTACGTTTATTAATTATTAAACCTTACAATTTTTTTTATTACGAATATACATAGTGTAAGGGACGTCGTAACGAATACTGAAATAGTTTATTCAGACCTTGATTCTGAGTCGAAAATCATTGGAATTTTCTGCAGAATTGGAAAATTCATCAAATATCTTTATAGCTTTCAATTTTTTTTGTCAAACATGATTAAAAATGATATCATTGTGACATCATTTGAACAGAACATTTTACCGAAAACAATTTAATAAATACCGCAAACGGTCAAAAACTGCAATGTAATTAATTAACTGTTCAAAAAATTGCAAAATAATTTAAGCAACCGCCAACTCTGCTGACAGTGCTGACTCCTAATCGTCAGCAGTTAACGATGTAAAAAGTAATGTTGGTACCCATTTTAAGAACTTTTTTAGAAAATAGAAGTCTTTTCCATTCCAATACTTGTCATATTAAAATTCTTCAAAAAAATATTTATCTAGTAAAAATTACGTTTACGAGAGAGAAGCTTCAAGCTTCCATCCATCGAGAACAATGATCTAAGCAGGTCTAAAAATATTTATTTTGAAATATGTATATTACTTAAGCAACGTACAGTTTAGCAAATTAATTTAATAGTAGGTCAGTAATGGCTAATTTCGTTAATTATTTAATTTTCTTTTATAGCACAATGGTGTACCTACTCCAGTGGCAGAACTTCCGGCGATTTTACCTGTACATAATGACTGACAATTACCGCAACATTATCACGAGGCACAAAAGAATGCTGTTGTCTCCTGATATGAAAGCTAGATACAAATTAGATGAAAATATGATCGTATCTGCTGGTACTTTGCCAGATCTTGACGAGGCCTATTCAAGGTAAGATTACATATTTTGTTTTATAAATTACATGGTAACTTTTTAATTAATTTTGGTATACCCATCCTTCAGCCGAATGGGCCGATTCGACCGGAGTGATTCATTGATAAAGTGTGCGATTCGATTTAATTACATACCGTAGTCTTGTCAGAATTGACACTGAAAATGTATGAGCAGCATAAGTATGAAGGTATTTCGATAACGTAAGCGCAAAAATTATGTATTTAAATTATGTGTTACTGAAATTTTAATACTATCGTTTTTCTCAAAACAAATTAAAATAAAAAAAAATAAACGCCACGTAAGTTCATGTCTTTTAAATTTAACTTGTTTTCATTACACACAGACTGTGTAACTGAAATATTAAAAGATTTACACTAATAGGGAATATGCACGTGACACCAAAATGGACAAAATATTTTTATTTGTAATTTTTATTGCTAAAAAAAGATACCCATACAATTATTTTTGAAATTTATTATAATTTAATAGTGAAATTTAATCATCAAAAATTGGCTTTTTTAAGATTCCCTCGCAAATTTCTAAAACGCAACGCTATTGGTTGAATAAAATGTGACGTCAACCTACACTGTCAAGAGTGTCAACAAGTTGTGTGTATTTGTAATATTTGGTTTCTGGTGATTATTTGTTTCATTTTAAGTTAATAACTAATACGTTTTCAGTGTTAAATTATTAAATTCCCGCGTAGAAAGACTCAACACAATGACTGAATATACTTTGTCAGGTGCAGTTATGATATTATTTGGGCACAAAGAAACGGCACAATATTTATAATAAGTTTTTATTGGCTTTTCCATGGTAATAAGTTAATTTTTATTACTCACTTTTTAACTTTCACAAACTTTGTGAACTTTACTCCGTTGTTGACATCGAATTCGTCTGAAAGTGTAATCTGACATCACAAAAAAAGCGCGCCAAAATGGACGTGTTCAAATTGCCCCAAAATGATAGTGATTTTAATAAATTTTTTTTTGCTTAACGGTTTATATTTCGGATGTGTTATATTTATTTTTGGTAATGTAATAACTAGTAGAATCGTTTAAAAAAATAAAAAAAATACATGCATATTCCCTATTGTAAATTTAACCTCGGCTATGGTTTTCAAATTAGTGTTATGATACAATAGAGTGTATCTAAACAACAACATATTTAAATGATACCTGCGGTTGATTTTTTATAAGTCTTGACCAAAGATTACAAAGTAGGCAGACACGCTTAGTTTTGAAAAAGTTTAATCACCTTAAATTGTAGAATTAACAGTAACATGTGTGTGTTAAAATTCACTGAAATTACACAGTAAAAAGCCCGAACGCTAGTCTGAAATTATACCCTTTCTGAATCTTTTAGGTAAACCTAACTTATGCAAGTTAACTGCTTAACCGGGTTTTGAAAAATTATATTTTTTTAAAGTTAAGTGATAAATCTTAATTAGTAGTAGTAGCTGAAAGGCTAAAAATAATATTATTATTTTTTTAAGTCTATTGAAATGATTCATTTTTAAGTACAGTGCGTTGTATATTTTAATAGATTCTAATATTTCTAATTGATTTTTTCGATAAAGGAACAAAAAGACGAACAGATAAAGTATAGTCGTTGTCAATCTAGAAATGCGTGAACCACGATTTACAATCATGCTACAGTCAAAGCAGTTATCACTGACTCTTATCGATTTTTTTATAGTTTATATCTTTAACACTTTGCTAGAACATTCGTTATAATGACGTTAAGAATACCGAAAACGTATTTCAGATAACGGAAGATAACTTTTAGGTTATCTTAAAAGTTTGTATGTAACAACATTCTGGACATTGACTTAGTAATCACGCTATATTATAGACACCTAAAGAATAAAATCATAAAATCTTAACGACCCATGTTAGGCATCGGTAGTGCTTGGTGTAAAATTTAAAGAAAGGAGAGGAATTGGCTTCGAACTATTCTTCTCGGACAGAAAATATAAATTTGCTTTAATCCTAAACAATTTTAATACTAACAGATAACACCAACCAATTTATCTTTCTTTTAAATCGGTCCTTTCTTGAACGAAAATTTGAAAATTGTTTAAAATGTTAGGATACTTTTTAAAAGTGTTAAGAAAATGATAATTTAGTAATGATAAATTAAAAAAGTAAACCACTAAGTAACTATTTTTCTTCAGAAGTTATAAAAAAATTATTGTAGCCTTATATGGATAGTGGATACACATGATATATCACACTCAGAAGAACTTTCAAATTTATAGTCGAATTGATGAAATAAAATAAATATATCTAGAATAAGCCAGTATCAACTAATACGGATCGCTGAACGTGAACACATTAGTTATTGATTGAAAACATTGTTGTCATACAAGTGCACACACATACATTCTGAAGTAGACATGTGTACATATTACTCAGCAGATCTAAAGTGAGCAATATTATGACATCATTCAAAATACCGCTGCAGCACTGGGAATATGCCATATATTTACTTTTGTTTTCTATTAAAAGAATTCTATTTTTATTAAACCACAAGTAGGTACATAAATAAATTATTTTTTTGAAAATGCGGTTTTAATAAGACATGATGAAGTTACGCGCGGAAGCGACTTGCACTTTCGATTAGGTCACGATGAGTGGAGAATCGTCAGCGTTGTGTAATTATGTAGAGGAATGTCTATGTACGTATGTGTATATTATGGAGTAAATTATAAAACTTTGCCCATATGGACCGGCTCGACCGGAGTGATACAGACAACCACACGACTCATAGAAAACCGATGTCAAGCAGTGCTTTCGTTGCTTTACAACGAGTGAGTGAAGTACCGGAGACGAAGGGAGGTTATAAATTAAATAATTGAAAAAAACAAGTATATTATTTTAGACTTAAAGTGGGAGACATTTTTCATATCAGTCCTGTCAATTTGTGACAGGTTTTTTTTTCATATTGCCTACTCATATTCAGTGATTTTTAAACTGTATGGAAATTTTTAATGGTGTCATTAAAAATCTTTTAATCGCTTTTTATAACATACACATATAAACCGAAGAACTATTTCTATATTAGAAAACTACATACACAAGAATAATGTAATAGGCAATTATTTAGACACGAAAACATCTGACGACTGGTACTTACTGTGTACAGACGATTTCGCTTCAGTAAGCGGCTTCTTCAAAAACAGGTCGATTGACAACCAACTTGCACACGAATAAGAACTTTATCTACCTACTTTCATTATAATAATATTACTTTTAATCACTTAGCCCAAAACATAAATATACACACATGTACATACCTAAGTATTTTTGTAGATTACCGACTCAACCGGAAAGAAAATCTAGGTATAGGTATATAAGAATAGAAATAACTTATACCTTAGTCAATGATATTAGTTTATCTATTTCTGTGTTAAATGGGTAATTGTTTAGGAGACGATAATAAAACTCACGACAGGTATTTTGTGTGAGTATTTAACTATTAGAGTGTTGAGTATTTATATTTCTTTTTCTCAAGTATACATTAAAAACGGGTAGGTTTTCGCACAATACCCTCCGTTGGGGAAACGCAGGGCGTGTGTGGGACTCCCGGAGAACCGGTCTATCCACTAAACCTCGGTCGGCCTACCTCGGCAGTCGGGAAGAGCTCCAGGAACGCATCGGCGACTTCTAGAGTCCTCCCCGTTCCCCATGTCTGAGGCATATCCCAGAGTGACCGTAGTCACCCTGGGGCAGGACGCTATCGCGCCTCTCACTGCTCTACAGAGTAAAAAGGCGCAACAGCGTCCCGCCTTAGACGACATCCCCCGGCATCATCGAAATCTGTCTCGGGTCGTTTACAGCGCACATCGCGCCAAGATGTGGCTGCAGCGACCCTTAGGCGGCGATTGGGGAGTTAACGACCCCTGCCGCGACCCCTTCATCGTGGGACCTGGAGGCGAGAGCCTTTGCGGCTCTGTATTAGTGGCGCAAGGAGGCGTGGGAGTTGGGTCGGTGTCCTGAGTCTCGAGGATCAGAAATCTCAACTCCTCCAGGTCCTCGTAGAGGAGTGGAAGGAGGAACTTGGGCAACCGAGCGCAGGGCACGCCGTTATTGCGGCGGTAAGACCCGTTATGGAGGGTTGGCTCGAGAGGCATTAAGGAACCCTCTCATACCGGTTGACGCATTTCATCACCGGCAAAGGATGCTTCGGAGATCACCTGTGTCTGATCGGCAAGGAGCCACCGTGGACGCTGATGATGTGGAGCGCCTCCACATCATCAGCCTATCGCAGTCCACTGCTGGACATAGGCCTCTCCCATTGCACGCCACTTAGATCGATTTTGGGCTTCTCGCATCCAGCTCCTGCCAGCCATCTTGCGCAAATCGTCACTCCACCTGGCCTGTGGGCGTCCTACACTACGTTTGCCGAGACGCGGTCTCCACTCAAGAACTCGTTTTCCCCAACGGTTATCGGTATGGCCAGCCCACTGCCACTTCAGCTTGCTGATCCGGTATGCTATGTCGGTGACCTTGGTTCTCTGCCGGGTCACCTCATTTCTGATGCGATCCCTCAGAGAAACGCCGAGCATAGCCCTTTCCATAGCACGTTGAGCGACTTTGAACTTGTGGACCAGCCGTACCGTAAGTGTCCACGTTTCAGCTCCGTATGTCATGACGGGTAGGACGCACTCATTAAAGACTTTCGTCTTAAGGCACTGTGGGATCGACGATGAGAAGACTCGACGTAGCTTCCCAAACGCTGCCCAACCCAACCGAATTCTTCTGTTCACCTCGTCCTCGAAGTTGTTTCTACCTAACTGCAATGTCTGCCCGAGGTACACATAATTTTGAACAACTTCGAGAACGGCACCGTTCACCGCAATCGGTTCCGGTAGTACATGTTCGTTGAACATGACCTTGGTTTTATCCAAGTTCATCCGTAGGCCGATGCGTACAGAAGTGTCAGCTAAGTCATTCAGCATTTGCTGTAGGTCCTGCAACGTCTCTGCCATGATGACGATGTCATCTGCAAATCGCAAGTGAGAGATGTATTCGCCATTGATATTGATGCCACGCCCTTTCCTGTGCAGCGTCTTGAACATGTCCTCCATTGCATTTGTGAACAATTTCGGGGAAATAACGTCGCCTTGTCTCACTCCTCGATGCAATGGTACGGGCCTTGTTTGCTGATTCTGTACTTGGACAGACATGGTGGCGGCTTCGTAGAGACATCTCATCACTTGGATGTTTCGCCAATCTACTTGGCAACGCAGGCGCCGGAGGTCGCAGAACGACCTCAGTCATCCATAAGCGCAGGTAGTAAGTGAGGCCATCTTTCACGCTAGCAGAAGCAAGCCGGGGTGGTAGCGAGACGCGCGGGCGTGCCCTTTCGGGAGTACAAAGGGGACATAGGGGTTCCCACACAGGAGGGGGGCATTTACACGCCGTAGATGGCCCGAGGTATGTCAGGGTATCGGGGATTTCCTTCCTAGGGTACACCTGGTTCCCTGGCAACTGGTACCCGAGAACGACGTGCGGTTTTTGGTCGGTTCGAGTCCAACATTACTACCGGTGGGTGGTATCTGAGAGGATTTCCTCACAGAAAAAAAGGTATTAAACTTTAAAAACAAAACAATATAATGAACAGAACGCAACAAGCATTCTAATTTGAATTTTAATTACCCCAATACTAACTAACTATTTCAAAAGAATAGATTAAATTTGTAGTATCCACTTTTTACTAAATTAAAATTAAGAATTATATTTACTGGTAAGAACATTGTTATGCAAAAAATCTTAAAAGAAATAATTAAATACATAACAACTGAGACAATCCGTCGGTATCCTATTGTTCAGCTGTAAGTATTTATTTGAAGCACACATTCCTAGATAAAGTATTAAAACAAATTCTATTGGTAAGAGTGCAAATACACAAGACTCTTCCGCTTCTTTTCAGATATATACCAACACAGTAAAGTATCAAGTAATTCTTATATCGTTTGGCAAATTAAGTCTTAATAAACCTAAACATTTTTTACCAGATAATGTGCCTATTACACTACTTTTGTGAACAAAAAACGTTGCAAATGAATTTAGGCTAAGTACTTAGTAGATATGTTACGCTCATTGAGCGAAAAAAACTGGGTTCACTGTAAAACTTCCACATCGCAGGATTCCTGTTATAGTATTTATGAGAACGCCCACGACACGTTGTACCTCTGACCACTGTAAGTGGTTAGATCAGGGATTCCCAAACTATTTAGGGCAAGAGACCCCTTTTCTAAAATGAACTGATACTTCAGACTTGTTGAGTTTTTTTAAAGTACAACAATGATACTTCCTACTAAAATATGAATCATTCTTATAACAAGTTAGTTTACGTAACACAGCTAATATAATATTTTGCAAGTTTCAAATAAGGACTTGTGTTGATTAATAGGGGTCGATTTTTAGACGTCGTGGACCCCCTTAATCAGTTTTCGTTTATGTCGACCACTTTAGGAATCCTGGGTTAGATAAATAAAATATTCTTCTAAATTCAAAATTTATTGCGCTTTCCTATAGAGGTATCTATCTTGTAATAAATGTACATAATACTTATGTATGCAAGACCTTGAATAAATCAACATATTACTATTGCCCTTGAACTCAGATAAATTTTGGTATGAAATTAAAATGTTACATTTAAAGCAAACAGACCTATTGCTTTCAAAATGCTGTACTTCAAGGCCAAACAAGTAGTGTTTAGACTACAAGTGTTTACTTTTAGTTAGACATCACAAGACAAGTCATCCTTGCCATTGAAAACATGTTTAGCAATTATTATCTATTGTTGGAGTTTATACATTAATGAAGAGCGATTGTTCGTCATTTCTTATAATGTTATAATGTGTGTGTGTGTATTTTAACTTGAGTTAGCGAATTATGTCAGTCTAGAAGAAGAATCTAGTAGTTGTAACTAATACCCAGCACTGTACAGCAACTACTAGTTTCTAACGAAATTAAACATAAGAAACAACATAATAATATATTAATATCGTACAAGTGACACTATGATTATACAAGTTTTTAAAGATTTGACAATCGTCCACTACAGGGGCAACGCAATGTACTTTGTGTCTACATCTACTAGGGGCCTATCTCAAATCATTGAAACACGAAAGCAACACATGAATATTTATCATCATACCACTGTTCTTTAACGTACCTATCTTTTTTCAGGAGAGTATACGGCTTCGAGTCAGTTGCAGACCTATACAAATGGAGTTCATCTGCATTTTACCTTAATAATATAAAAACCCCGATGATTTTCGTCAATGCTCGTGATGACCCTATTGTGCCAGAAGCATTACTCCCCATTGTACGGGAATTTGTCAGTAAGTGTTGGCCAATAATATATATATATCGTATTTCCCTAAATGTTGCTTAACTTTGTGATTATATAACTACCTGTTAAAGGTATAACAGGGGACTGAATGCAATAATATTTATAAGGTACGATATCTTTTTGATTACCCACATCGGATACATTCTATCGAATTCTTGTACAAAGATTGATACATAGAGGAATGTAGATATTCGAGTGGTGACAGAAATTGAAAAGGATATGTTGAGTTAGTGTGGGCATGTAGAAAGAATGAATGTGCAATAAATAACAAAATAAGTTCGAATGACAAAAATTCGTGGACAGACCACACTCAACCACGCAGAATACTGTGATCAGATTGGTGATGTTCTGAAGAACAGGCGTGCTAGTATAAAAAATTTAATGACAGTACATGAAACGCATGAGGTATGTAAGGATTAGAAGCAAATGGCGGACAGACTTTTTCCTAATCGAATAGGGTTATGTTTTTCGCGCGTATCTTGTGTTTGTACTTAAATTTCTTTATTAGCTCGCATCTACCAAATGACTGAATGGATTCCACAGTTAAAGTATTGTTTTATCCATTGTTTTGTTTTTCTTGAAGAAAAAAGAAGAAGAAAAACAAAATGGCAGATTTTTAGCGCAAAATAGTAATAGGTTAATGAAAAAAATGAACCAAACATATCAAGAAAGGTATCAAAATCAGGTAAATTAGAAGGGGATTACAAAAATATATATATAAGTTAAAAATATACATTTAAATAATGATCAATAAATTGGTTTAAAAAGGTTTTGATAGCGTAAAAAAGGGCCATGTTTGTGTCAAACCTCGTGCTGTTTCGGTCTTTTTGGGGTATTCGTTTTAAACAGTACTTTTGCAATAGGGTTTTTGATTTTTTAAATAATTACTTGATTTATTAGAAATATCGTTACTCATCAGATATTTCTAAGTTAAATTAAGTAATATTAATCTTCTAATCCTAATTGAAAAAGTTGCAACCGTGTTTAATATTATTTGAACGATACGACTAAATAATTGAAGTTGTCACCTACGCTCTTGTACTTCCTTGCGTGGTTACATAAGTAACAGAAAGCGCTATTAAAAAAAATGGATTTTCACATTTGGTTTTTTATAGCCCCTTGTCACATGGGACCTAAGCGACCGTTTCTGCACACGAGTATCGGCACTGGTGATGGTTCTATCTGTCTTATCAGCTTCAAAAATGTATAACGTTTGTAGCTGATAACAACCAACATCCATTATAATATATCATACGTTTTCTTACAAATTCATTTTAATGGGTTTAGCACTCTATTTTTAATACATGCGTAGTGCAATGTTAAGGCAACTAAAAAAATTATCATTCATGTCATTATCATTGTTCATACCGCTAGCAAGTGAAACTTGTTTATAGTAATGTCCATTTTTATAACGGTCCTAATATGCAATTAGCTCATTCAATATGTAAACATAAAAATAAACTTAAAGCATTTGTTACATATACGTTATTAACAGAGTAGTGGATCCAAATATTCTAATAGTAGAAAACATAATTTTATTTTGTAACCTGATGTGGTTCATTTTCTTAATAAGTTAATATATTAATAATAAAAAGTTTTGAGAGCCTATTGATTCGGGATAAATCTGTTACCACAATTTTCATAAAGGGATTAATTCGCAGTAAAATCAATTAAAGTTCCAATATAAAGTAAATACAATCAAATCAAAAGTTGCTTGTTTGAAGAAGTTGAACATCTATTAACCTTGAAAATGAAATATTGGCCAAATTAAATAAGTATTTATCTTGTAAGTGTGTTTAGAAGCGAAATTGAAACAAGAGTCCAAAAAGTTAATTCAGAGTAAGATAGCCTGATTCGTAGGTCTTAATAGCAGTTGTTCCCGGATTACTCCTCTTTCTGGCGCAGAGGGGAATATCGTGTGGTTTTAGTCGATTTGATCTCGTCACACCGCGACGACCCGGGGTTTAAACACGTAAAAAAGAGTGTACGTCACGAGTCGACGAGTCACGGTTTCGCGAAAAGTTAGAACATCCCCTAGAAAAGCACGTATGGCGATTCACAAGGGAATGTTAGTACCAATGTTTAAGTATAAAGTATGTACCTTTAGATTGACTTTTTGAGCGGGGAATGTATGAAAAGTTTGATGAATTTGTAAGCTGAATATCTGAATCGAAGTAAAGGGTTGTATTTTTTTTTATTAAAAGCAGTTCGACTTAGAAAAAACATTAGCTATGTAGAATATTAATACTAGTAATGGTTTTGTTTCGAAACGAAGAAATCGCTAATCTTTTATTTCTTAACAGTGCAGTGTGTAAAAGGCAATATTCAAGTCATCAATTAAGGTCCCAAATTCGTTTAAATTTTTTACACGGGTATATTAATTAACTGAAGAAAACTACTTAATTACTAGTCTAAAGTGAAATAGCTTTTATTGCTTTATGAAAAGGACTTAAAGTTCGCTGTAAGAATTCCTAATTCAGGTCTTCCATGATCTTCTAATACCATCCCTACCACATTACCAATAATATAATATCACTGTTAAGTATTACTGATCCATTAAAACTATTTCAAAATCGTTTTCAATTTTCAGGTTCACACGATAAAGCTATGTATCTTGAATTGGCACACGGAGGTCATTTAGGATTCTATGAAGGTGGTTTGATATATGCAAATCCTGTGAACTGGCTAGACCGAGCGCTGGTGGGACTCGCTGGCGGACTGCTTATGGCGCACAACAAATGTTCTCACGCAGACGAAAATATGCCTAAAGCCTGGAAAAAAAGTACAGAAGACGAACCCGACCTAATCAAATCAGCCACCATCGTCTACCGTGATCCGTTGGAGAAAACACCTTTAAATCAACATTAATATAGTGACTTAAGGCTCATAGAGCGTCTAGATCTATATAATGATATTGTATATGTAATATTAGATATTGTACCTACTGTTACAAGGAGTTTAAAAACCATATTTGCATTTTACCATCTAAAAGGATACTTATCGATGAATCAGGTTTAGTTTTAATAATTTTAACAAATTTATGATTTTATAAGCCAGATGAAGTCAAGTCGAGAAATGCCCAGATATTTAACTGCTAAGCTGCTTGGCCTCATCTTGACGCATATCATCTAAGGCATAGCATATGCGGTATATGACATAAAACATTTTCGTAATTAGACCAGTCATTAAAAATCCAGTAGATTGTTTGTTGCATCGCCTTTGATGTACCAAATATCAGGATAGTGTAGTTTACTCAGAAACAGAGCACCTCTGTTTAAGAGCTATCACATTTATTATGGCGAACTTAAAGTAACAGAACTAGAAAATTAGACAAATTATGAAACTTTTGATAAAATTTCACAGTTGAGTGGCAATTCATGAACTTTTTGAGATAAGGAGTTTGATGATGTGATACTAACATTAAATAGTTAATATGTCACTGATAATAATTTTAAAAAGAAAGCTAACAGGAATTGTGTTGTATAGATGCTTCGGCATGCTGTATTTTTAACATTGTGTTCATAGGTAACAATATTATTATCGCGTCGTCGCGGAGCAGAGCGGAGTAGACTGAAGCGGAGTGGAAAGTTTGTATGGGACGGTTTGGGGCGTTAATCAGTATAGTCAATGTCTCGAAGAGATCGTACGTCATGTTGTCGTTAAAAAAAGTGAGCAATACTTTTAATATCGGTCCCTACTTGAAGATAAAGATCACGAATCAGATCACACACCCCCACCCGAGCGGTGAGGGTGTGTGATCTGATTCGTGATCTTTATCTCTATCTTTTCTACGGGATGAGAAGTGTCTACTCCACACCACACCGCTGCACTCCGCTTAATACTCGATTCCGCTCGGAACTACATGCTCACGTATTTTATATGAATTTCCGATTGGCTCTGCTTCACTACATTCCTACTGTTTTCATTGAAGCTGAGTGGAGATTTCGAGCATTGTGATTGTTCAGTTTATGCATCGCTAAGTTCCTTCTCGCTCCACTCTGTGGAAACGCAACCTAAAGCGGGGAAGATAAATTATTATCTTTCTTAGTAAATAGCTTTATTTACGTTGCACATATGTACTTTTTATGATATAGGAGGCAGAAGAGCAAACGGCTCACCTGATAATAAGACGACTGGGACACCTGCCTCTCAGGAGTCACAAGCGCGTTGCCGGCTTTGACCCTAAACCACGCCCTTTTCTTAAAGGTCGTATAGGTACGGAAATACCGCAGGCTACAATTTGTTCCTCAGATTGGTTGTGCGAGACAAAAAAAACTTGAAAAGAGCAGTGGTGGAGTGCCAATTATTCAGAGATTTGGAGTGATGATTTGCCAAGGGGAACGATGGCGGAAAGCTGCGGCACAATTCTTTGGAACTCTCCCATTAGTAAATCCATATCCATTTGGTCCCTTTGGGTTTAGAGCAAATTAGTTATCACAGACGGCCAGACGAATAATTATCTTACAAGGATTCTGTTTCCTTCAGTCGAATGTATAAAACGCTAAAATTGCAAATTTTCGTTGCTATCATTAAAAATGTAAATTTTATCATGGTTTTCTTATCGCAAACAAGTTTTAAATCCTACCTTCTTGAGGCAGTACGTACAATTATTACATCCGTTTCATCAGCCATAAAATAATAACAAGTACTTAGATTGATCCCTTAGGTACATGTTTTGGAGGTGATGATTCTCCATCGTTTTATACGTCCTAATAAATAATGGTTTTTATATTTAGAACACAAGCAAACATTATTTACCAAAGCCTAGTAGTTGGGGACAGAGATCCCCTTTATGCCCTGAGTAAGATATTAGGCAGGACCTAATAAACAATATATTTTCTGCATATTGTAAACTGCACGTTAGCTTTTTAAAAATGTATTTATTTTTAACTTGTTGGACTGTTTTGAAGGCACTGCATTAAATGTGATTGATATTTATTAATAGATATAACAATTTTGTTGTCACCTAATAATATTGTAAAATAGTAAAGTTTTAGTTACTTATTTTTAGAAGGGGCTAAACGTGATTAAAGAAATTAGGTCAGAGCCAAGTCATCTATCTCACTTACCCCTCTTTTCTTATATCTCACAATTTGCGTAATCTAACATTACGGGATTTAAGTTAGTTGAGTTCTGAAACTCGGTTATTCATCACGAGCATGCTCCACTTTCTGGAGAATCCAACAAAAAATTGGTCAATTTAAAATGCGAGAATTATAGCCCATAGTGTCGGTGCGACGAATGAGATTATCGTAAGTCAGCTAAACATTCCATTTCGAATGTGAAAAGTGGTCGTAGAGGGCTCGTGGAAAAATAAAAACAAAAGGAACTAAGTTATCGCAATGTGTCATCATGTGGCAATCTACACCATCTACTGTATCGCAATTTTCTACTTGTCATATCATACACCAATAACGTCACAATTTTATCATAATATATTGAAATTTATTAATAAATTTGAATCTGTAAGACTTTTTCAACACTAAATCCTGTAAGCGGCCTTTCCTCTTGTTTTTATTGTACCACCTGTTTTCCTACAAAAAATTAAGTATCAATTTAATATTATTAAATTTTTAACAGTATCGTGATGTGATTAAAACACGTGTATGAAAACTGCACAAAATTGGCATTTTGAAGTTACGCTCACGTTAATCTATGCCACAACTTTTTAGTTGTAGTTAGTTAATTCGCATAAACAAGATACTAGCCTTAGTTAAATTTAAAAATGTGACTAATATATCACATTGATACTAGCCTTAGTTAAATTTAAAAATGTGATATATTAGCTGGTTATTGTATTTATGTAATGCATTTTCCTAATGTATGGTGTGACTCATTTTATTACGGCTGCTATCACAAATTTGACTACTCACTGCACTCCCTCACTTTTTAAGTTAGTTATCACTTAAACAATATGGTATCTTGTCGGCTGTGACTAAATCGCTATTATAAACATCTTCAGTAAGTTTGTAATTAGTCCACATAATGCTATTTTGATTGCAACCAAATTTTTACAGGTTTTCCATTTGATACACAAAAACAATCAATAAGCTATTCAAAATATGTATTATTAGTTTTACTCAAATCTTCGATATCCATATAAAAGCACCCAATTAAAGAGCGTTCACGTAATACGGCCACCAAACCTTGTTTTCATTAAAAGTTTATAGGACTAATTTATGTATATACACACATAACTGATTTTGTGATGGTAGCCGTACCTGTATGAGACAAATGAATGTGTAATGGTTTGTTTATCTTCAATGTTGTGATGAATATGTTTATATCTCGATTACTAGTAATACATATACCTACCAATAAATGTGATATTGCTATCACATATCTTTTTAAAATTGAATTTACCCTAAAAGAACATTATTGTTTTACCTGTTTATCCGATGTTTGTAAAAATAATTTATTATACTATTAACTTTTCACAGATTAATGCACAATAATGTATCATTTAAAAAAAACTGTTAGATCTGTTAAAATAATGAAATATTTTTATGTTACATGAATGCTTGAAATAGAAAAGCCAATGTTTTGTTGTAACAGTTGTAAGTATTGTTTGTGTAGTACAAATAGATTTGCACAATTCATATTTTGATAACTTATTGATGGCCTTTACTATGATGATAAGAAAAATTACTATGTATTCAATAATATATAACTACCTACACCTATTTTCTTTTTTCAATTGAATTCCTTTAATTCCTAGGGTTGGATTGGTCAACTACATTGGAACTATATATAAGGAAATAAAAAAAATAGTACAACAGTTGGATTATTGACATGTATACACGGTTTTGTGTGAGAAATCAATATGTACCTAACTTACTCTAAATTTATATATCTTCTGCATTTAAACAGTAGCCTAAATCTTTATGGGGTGCTATGAAATTTCTTTATTTTCTTATCTTTTGTAAAATAATTACTACAAATACTGAGAGTTGTTTACATGTAGTACCCAATGTTTATTCTGTGTTTAACTAGCCAAAACCCCATATCAGTGTTTCATATTCCAAGTAAAATAAGTAAAAGGTGTGTGTGTCACACTCACGATGTATTTTATGCTTACACATATATTTTTAACCGACTTCAAACACATTAAATTTTACTTTTGAAGAATACTGATAACATTGGTCTCACCAAGTTAAATGCCGGTGTTAGGATCCGTTCACGTCAGATGGGGTTCGAACCCGCGACACTTTACCGCAATACGACGTCATTTAGCCCATCCCCCGCCGCATCATGATATAACCTCTTTTTTCATAGATACTTACATTTACTTTGGTGGTATACCGTCGCTTGTTCTTCCGCGTGCACTGTAACTACATTCACGCCAGGTTTCCAAATTCGCACAATTATTCAAGGCCTAGTCAAACTTGTACAATAATTATATATTATGTACAAAAATACGATGGTTAGGTAATTTTTTGCACTTTTGTAAATTTCTCAGTACCAGTAATTAATGTGTGACAAAAAATATATGTGATCATTGTAGTTACCTACTCAATGAATGTGGCCTTAAACGGTTTTATTGTATGAGTATGTGGTAATTAGCTGCAAGAATGTTGTGACTAAATATTTATTGCGAGTGACAGAGACGTGTTTTATACATCAATTTGTGATGTGTAAAATCAAGAAGTATAGATAAACATACACTTTTACACGACATTTAAAAAGTTCCTCAGAAATACCACTACAATACAATCTTATCTATTGGTTAAACCTGTATATAGCCGTACTAAAAACATTCTATGATTAATGATAAAAGTAAATAAGTTTATGAATTTGCAAGCGTTATAATCTATTGATTAAGTAGATAGATTAAACTGTTATAGTTTGTTTGGGACCATTTTTTTTTTGTAAAACTACCTGCTAAAACTTTAGGGAGCATCCATTAATTACTTTTAATTTGGACCCTCGACGATTCTTCATTTGCTGACATTCCCCCAGAGTTTACAGTTAGAAGTAGATTTACTTAGTTAAAAGACAAAGTTATTAAAGATCTAAAATCTATTTTTATAAAATCTTGTTAGAAATGTTCAATTATCCGTCCATCTAATTGACAGTTTACCAAAATCGTACAGAGTTAATGAATGCCTCCTTAGTAATAGTGTGTGATATTTATTACTACTTTAATATTATTAATTAGATGTTTTCGATTAATGGAATATGTTAAACAAGTAAAGCTTTGGATGTTTTAAATGTGATGTGTTTTGGTAGATTCAAATTCAGAAATAGTGCTGTTGCCTATACACGTATATACTTATTATGCAGATTAAAAGTACAAACCTATAAAAAGAATCGAATTAAGAAGTCCTATAAGTTGATTGACATATTTTTATCAATGGTATAACCGGCAATGCATAAATCCTAGCTAGAAAAAAAGATTCACGTTTAGTAGATTCGACAGATCTCCCATAAAATGTCCGGATTTTCGTAATGGATGTTTATTTAACGGTAATAAATGTTTAAATGAATACTCAGTTGTTTGTTTTATCCCATTCATATTGAAATTATCATTACAAAAGGATTGATAAATAAGTATATTTCTAGTCAGTAATATATAAAATTTCAAAGACGGGTGAATTTACGCTGCCTTAAATTCTAACATGTTATAGCTAACTAATACTATATTAAACATATTTTGTAAATGGAATATTATTACGACAATAACCTGCCAATTTATACAATACATAGTGTACAAGAAATACATAGAGATTCGACTGGGGTTTTCATATATTAAATGTACATCATAATATAAAAGATAGTTGAGCAAAAACATAATGAGATCAAGAATGAAGGTTTACTACAAAAGATTTTCATAAAAGAATGATGTATATTAATAAACAAATAGAGAACACTCCTTTCACAAATTGCGTATCTTTATAATGAAGATGAGAGTACAAAGTTTTGATAAAAGCAATAAATTGATCAATATAAAAACAAGAAAGTACAACATGAATAACATTACCAATATTCCAAATACAAATATCACAACATTTTCCTTAATTTTATCTTATCTCTCTTTACACATACATCTTACACATAAATATTAAGTAATTTAGGTATATAACATTAAATAAGACATTTACATTAGAAAATAATTTCAGTTGCAGATCTATATGAACTTAAAATACATCCGTCGATTTTCTAAAAAAACAATTACACATATTACATTAAAATTATAAAAATAGAATGGCCACTGGGAGAGTAAATGCATTATAAATATTTGAATTTAGATATATGGTGCCATTTGAAAATCACCGTGGTGATGCATCGAGATTCTTTTAAAAATAATTAGATGCCTTTTCTTTTTAATTTGAATAAAGAGCACGTACTTGACTTCTAATACTCTAGGCCACAGAATATTCCCGTTAATTCTGATTAATACCGATTTGAACTCTCCTATGCCAGCATAAAAGAGTTTAAATCTTAAGTTGGATCTTGCATTTACGATTCAATGAATACCTACAACTAATGAAAAATCATTACTGGTACATCTAAATAAAGGAAATAAGACACGGTGGAATTATATGGTTAAATAGAAAATGTCAAGTAGTCCCAAATTACCCAAAAGCAGTTTTTTTTATGTTAGAGGGGGCAGACGAGCAGACGGGTCACCTGATGGAAAGTGACTGCCGTCGCCCATGAACATCTGCAACTCAGGAGGTACAAACGCGATAAGTTTTTACGTCAGTAATCATTATTTATTAATCAATTACCGTTTTTCCCCCATGTAACGCAATTAATAGTTCGAGCTGGATTACGCTTAGATTCGATTCTCGAGAAGAACTGGTTGACATAATTTATCCTATTACGAAATTTGCCATGGCACTAGTGCAACGGATGTGTAACGGTGAGTTTAGATATAAATATAAAGAAAACATTTTTTTTAATTAAAAAAAGGCAAGAGTATGGCTTCATTACATACCTGACAGGTAGATCCATAAGAATTTTCTCGAGAAATATTCGTAAGTATTTCAAATGGTTCCATATAATAAGGCTATTTTTATAATAACCCTATTTTAATATGACGAAATGCTTATAAAACGTATAGCTTATTAAAATATAGGTACATTGACAAAAACAAGTCCATTCTTATTAAGTATTTCGTTATGAACAAAAATATTTTTACGTCTTTCTAACTAGAATTATGGAACTGACATTTTACAGTCTTTTTACATATCTGTTCATTTAAGTCTGAGTATTCAGAATAAATTAAAGCTTCTTTTTACAAGGTAGATATAATATAAATAAATTACGTAAATGCAATTAAATCGTGACTTATGGTGTCATATAGTCAGCAGATAGATGTAGGATCGCCTTCCATAGTGCATGCTATATTATCTAATTTATGGGCTAAGTGCATTTTGTTTTCTAGTCCTAATATAATTTGTTCTCTATATTTACTGACATAGATATACAACTCTTTTAAGGCAGACAGTGTATCGAATTCATTCAACTGTTCCACCGAGAGTTGTTGCATTGAAGTACTTAGCTCTTGGTCTGTTACTTGAGGTAATTGAGATACACCTTGATAAAATCTTATAACCATTTCTCTGTAGGTAGGCAAGTCTTTTGCAAAAAGTAATTTGTTGGAAGGAGAGTCTTTACACAATCGGTGTTCTGTCAGAGAGCAGGCGTCCATGAATGTTTGAGCGATAACTGATAATGAAGAATCAACTGTCGCAGTTTTATTTATATCGAAGATAAAGTCTGGATTCTTTATGAGATTCACCCAAAACCGTAATGGTAAACTATTGGATTTCCACGCATGGACCACTTCAGGATTCATAATGCCATGAGTACGCGCGGCATCATCAAAAAGATCGAATAACCACTTTACTGCAGGTGGTAAAACTTCATTCACAGTAAGTATAGTGCTAAAGAAGTCATCCACAAACTTATGGACCGTACCTTTCGTAGACAAAAGTCTAGTGAGGAATATTTCTGGAATTGCTTTATGACTATGCTCTGAAGATTTGTTTATAATATGTTGGTACTCAATAGGCTTCACTAAATGATAATAATGAACGTTCTGGTCCGTAATATCACTGTTATAAACTCTAATATGAGAATTGGAACAATATATTCCAGTGCAATTTTTGCATGGTATTTTATACGGAGTGTTGAAACTGTCATTTTGGCGAGAAATCAGGGACATCACGGCAGATTCTTTAACGCCGTAATGAGCCAATGTATTCAATTTACGCCAGCCATTTATTGTTTTCGTTGTAACGTCTTCATCCTGAAGAGTAACGTGTCCACCCCGTCCGTGGCGCCATTCTAAGTCAACTTCGTGGACGGACGGCCTCATAGAGAATGGAGTGTTTTTAAATAGTCCATCTAATATTTTAGCCTTTACTTGTGATATGGAATCACAATCTAAAACTTTGCACTGAACTTTTTCATCAAAATCATCTTGTACTATATGAAGGGTTATGGTTTGATGGTCTATTTGTTCTTTCAAAAGCTTTTCTTCTGATAAAGAATAACGAGCTTCATGGGTGATGGCGTCTACAACACCTTTTTCGATTTGATGCTTAATTGCCTTGAAGAGTAAAAATAATGACGAGCCTGCATAATCTTTAAGATAATAATACATACATAATGCCATCCAATTTGTCAACATCTTCTCAACAACACTTTCAGTTCTTCTTAACATTAGCTGAGGGTGTTTATTACATATCGACTTATCAATAAGGCGTAGTAAAAGAGATTTTAAAATATCCGTAGCATATTCCATTTTCCCCATAAGTATTACCATCAACAACGAAGCTACATTAACTTTATCTCGAATGTTAAAAGATTTTTGTGCCTCTAATGTGTCTATAAATGACAAAAGGAAACATTTATTGTTTAGAAGCTGCTCAAATTGAATCATCGCTGCATCATAGTTAGTTCTAGGCGCGTTTATAAATTGCCGTTGGACGTTCAAAATTGGGTGATCAGAAACTCCTGGAAAAAACACTTTCATGACGTAGTTTACGTGATCCAGTGTTGGGATACCTGAATGTTCCAAATCAGCTGCCAAGTCAGACATATCAGTTTGCAACTCTGCAAATGCCAATTTACATTCCAGTCTAACATTACTCTCTAAGGTATCCATCTGAATTTGTATCCTTTTATATTCCCTTTCTGCTTTTGTACTTCGACGTCTGTACATGACCAATACAATCATAAATATTAGCACTAAAAAGAAAGTACCACCAGCGATGCCAGCAATAACTTCTGGCGGAAAATTATAGTTTCTAAGTAATTCATAATGTAGAAATCCAATTGGAAATCTCAAATTTTTACCAATTTTAACCACAACTAAAGGTAAATTAATGTCTGTTATCAAGAGCCCATTTTCATCAGTATTTGCGGGTTGTATTTCAGGGGGTGTACATAAGAGTTGCTGATTTGTAAGACTAGTAACATTACAAGGTTGTGTTCCAATGGTTACAATCACATCTGATTCATCACTCGCCTTTATTAAATGTTCGCCTTCTATTACCAAAGGGTCCCCTTTATACGATTTTATCCGATTTAGAAATTGATAAACATGTGGATCTTCAAAGAAAACCATATGTGTGCGGGGCGGGACAAAGTTCTTTTCATGCATAGTCTCAACATTGTCCATGACAAAGCCAACTTTCATTGCTACCTGTGGAGTACTGGTTTGTTCTTTGGTTGCTTGTAAAATCTCTTCATACTTTTTATTTATTGCTGGACTAGGGCATTCCATTTGATGTTCATTTAGTACAGTACAGGCAGTATGGTTCACCGGTATTAATTCATTAGAGTAATATAATTTCATTAGAGGTTTTTGGATTGTGTGCAAGTTTGTGCCATGAACCGTTATCATTCTACCACCTGACACATAGCTTTTTAAGGGTTTTATTTCCATTATTGTAGGATCAGCTGTATAATTGAATAAATCTCCATACTTAGTTCGATTAGCATTATCTATTGCAACAGTCAATGTATGAATTACTCTTGGCACACCTGCCTTTGGTGTTGTACAGATCAATCTACTGTTAGAAGTTTGTGTTTTATTAACAGAACATGGTAGCTCATCCAAGTACGCTGAAATAGAGGAACCAACATTCAAATATTGACCTGCTATAGCTAGTTGGGTGCCTCCAGAAACTGGTCCCAACATGGGATAAATACCTTGAAGTGTTATATTTTTATAGCTGAATAAAACAGATGACTCGGTATGACCAGAATCATTTTCTACAATAACAGGTGCAACAATAGACCCATTTGCTGGTCCTGTACGACATGTAATGCTTACTGAAACTTCAAAGTCTACAATTTCACAGGAAAAATCTCCAATGCGAACTTTTCCTGATACTTCCTCTACTCTTAAACCTAGATTACTTCCTTCAATGGTTACAATTGTTCCTCCTTCTATAGGTCCACTTAGTGGTTTGATCATATCAATCCTTGGCTTTGGACACTCAGTGACAGGGTTCTCTAAACAAGTTTCACTGTAAGCACATGAATTGCTGCACCAAGTGCATTTATAGATGGAGTTGCGGGTTATGCAAAGAGAGCAATCAGCATGTTCTCTATGAGAGCCAAGAATTTCACATTTGTATAGGGTAATGTTAATAGTATCTATATAGTGCTTATGATTCCATACAATTTTAACACTTACATTGTATTCTCCTACATCTTCTTCATATGAATATGTTGTTTTATCACAAACAATGTAATGATTAGATTCAACTCTTGCTGGAAGAATCATATTAGCAAGTTCAATAGTCACTATGCACTGAAAGCCAGTATGTCCTGGTTGTAAATGAGGTAAATTCTCAACTTCAAGTTCTAATTCTTTAGGCACATTGTTAGGCAATAAAATTGGTTTTTTATATTGTCTTATTCTAGGACAATGTCCAATACCATGATTAAGTAGTTTTGTAGGATTATTTTCACCACTGATTATAGTCCTTTGACAAACAGAAGTATCATGTGTGCATCTGTTGTCATAAATACACCAGTTACAGGCCCATTCACTCAAGATGCAGGAGTGACATGTTGTGTGTTTGGAACAATCATAAAAAGCAAAATTTCTGGATACAAAATCTTTATTGGTCTCTGATGAATGCACAGATAGAGAAACATAGACATGATCCTGATTTTGTGGTATTTTAGGTCTATGTTTTACATCAGGTGTAGGGCAGGCAAGACCATTAGATGATACTGTAGCAACTATGGGAGGAGCAGTACCAAAAACACATATATATTTTGAATCACTACCAGAAGGCAGTTCAGGCAAGGTTCTGATAATCAACTGCACTGTTGTCACTTCATTCATCGAAATTCTGTCTGGTAGTATCTGTTCAAAGTCAATACATTGCTGCCCTATATATTGTGATAGCCATCTGGGTGCACTTTGAGTTCCTTGTTGACACATGTTCTGAACTGTACAGCGTTTCTCTAAAGAACACCATCCACAATGAGGATCATTTGATTCTAAGCATGAAGAACAGTTACCAAGTTCTGCGCATCTTTCAGTTGGTATTTGAACAATTGAATTCTTACCCAATACATATAAAGTTTTAAGATAAGGTGACAATATTGTATCTGGTAAAATTTTTTGCCCCTGCAATATTACATCACTGGAGTACTCCAGTGCTTTATCAGCATCAATCAGCACTTTCTTAAGAACACCGTCATTTGTGCCTACAAAAGCTACAGTGTGTAAACCAGTTACAGACATAGTGATAGAAGTAAGTAAAGTATCATTCCAGTATATTACAGACATAGCTTTAATGGGATAAAGACCACTAATTTTAAGGCCTACCTCACAAAAATTAAGTATGTTGCCTGTAGACCCAACACTGGGACATTTACCATCAGATATCATACCTGATATGTAGCCCATATTGCGTGCTTTAGTGCTACCATTGAAACACATGTGAACATTTTCATTAAACTTAATTTCTATCTCTTGTAATGAATAAACACATATGGCAGACTTAGACATTGGTTCATTAGAAATACTCTTTGACGGACTAAAGACAGCAACAAGTACAGAGTCACCTGTCTCAATACCAAGTTGTGCAGCAAGGTTAGCACCAGTCCTTGCTATCTTAGCATCTTGAACTAAATTGTAATTGACCACTTCACTCTTACCATTAACAACTTCTTCCCGAACATGACATTCTAGCGTAACTTCTGTGTAGCTGTTGTAGTTATCGTCATTAACACAGGTACGGGCTAATCGAGAGACGTAACCCAATTCCTCATTACCAGCAAGATGAGAATTCTTCTGTATTAACAAAAAATATGCATAATCACTAGCATTGAAGCCATAAACATACTGCACAAGAAAATTGTCTCTGTACTTTACATCTATTTGTATTGAACTTTGTTTGTTGAAAGTTAATTGTGCAACTTCTAGGGACATCAGATCACGACTAGCTATTGCAGGAACATCGTGTCTATACTCTCCATTATTTGTAAAAGTAGTCCCCACATAAAGCACATTCGATCTTTGCCATGCGTTGTACCTCTCAGGGCCTATGAACGCGTAAGTTGAAGCATCAGCATCGTTAGCAGCGACACTGATAGGAAAGAACTCGGGTTTCGAAGATAGGTCTCCAAGCTTATACTTAAAACAGGAGCCCTGCGCAATAGAGCCACACGCTATTACTCTTCCAGATTCTTGATCTATCACTAATATTTTATTCACATTATCAATCGATGTAGTCTTTATATCAGACGAACTGCAGCCACTTGCATGACACGTTGGGTTATCAAGTTTCGGACCTGTCGGTACGACATTAATAGGTTTCAAGTCAGGACTTAATTGGTGAATCCAATTCAATGACCCTGCGTACACTTGACCACTAACTCTATCCACAGCAAGGTGGTGAAATTGAAATGTTTCATTAGATTGATTAGGATATTGTGATATATACTCGTATCCATACACTATTGTACACCGAAGCCAAAATGTTATGACTAACACTGTTGTAAAAGCGGCCATGATCACATTTTAAGCAGCCGTTTATTTTGTTAGATCACTTTATTACAAGCCGTTTCTAGTTTTTATTTGATTTTCAACCCATTTTTGATCCATTACAAAAAATAATGTAATATAGCATTCATCAATGCCGATGACATGGAATAAACAATAGAGTTTTACACCGTAATATTTAATTGAAGCATAGACTGCATAGAGACATGAATGTTGCTGTCATAAAATGTAAACTGCATTAGAGTCAAGGACTGACCACTAAAGTACAACTACTGTATTTGAAAGTTTGAAAACCAATTATTTACTTTTTCGACAATTTTTCCATTGACGACTACGTCTTTATCATTTAAGGAAACTACAAGGTACATGGGTAGCTCTCCCTTTTGGAGCTGGAACTGAACACCGTGGCCCCCACATACAAGGGGGTCATATATGAGCCGTAAAAGGCCCGGCGTCCATCAGGGTAATAGGGATTTCCTTTCTAGTAGTGATGCGCAAAATGTATCACTGAGCTGAAAAGATTGATACATATCATTTCGCTCTAAAGATATTTATCACTCATCTAGCTCACTAGCTCATTTAGCTCACTAACTCGTTTAGCTCACTAGCTCATTGATCCGATTCAATTGATTGGTCTCTCAATTAATTCATTTCTTCATCTAGATCTTTTCAAGCCTTCAAGCCTCTCTCGCCTTACAAATCTTTCTTTATTTTCATATAAATTCAGTTTTTGAAATTACATTTTTAACCTATTCTTTTTTAAATACAAAATTATTCATTTTGATAAGATAACATAATTATTAACAGCCTTTTATATAATAATAAAAAATAAGAAATTATTTCTTGTACTTTTTTTAGGTTGTATAATAGAAATCATACATAATTTGATTTTCCTTGTACTTGTCAGCTTTAATTCTTAAGTAATTTTAAACTTTGATCCCATAAAAATAATGTACATTTTGCATAAAGAAACTTGCGTGAACTCAACCATCATCTATCTCACTCATTTATCTTTAGTATCACTCGCTCATGAAACAAAGATCGGCGTCGTTGAGCTAGTGATCTAGTGAGCTAGTACTGAGTTACTGATATATTCGGAGCAAGTGTGAGTGAGTGATACATTTTATCGTCGTGAATGATATATATCTTTTATATCACTCACTCAGGAGCTACACAACTCTACTTTCTAGGTTACACTTGGTGCCCCGGCTACTGGTGCGGTTTTATCTGGTTTTATACCAATGTCTGATTTCCGCACGGAAAAAAGGGTAAATAGATAGAAATTCTAGTTGATCCACCTTAGACACTTGAGACAATCAGTTAATTCTTTAAATTTTAAGTTCGTAATTATTGTATGCAAACTAGTCCTGTTGAAAAGAACTGAATCAAACCTTCCAAAAATTTGTTGTTAATCAAAGTGGTAGTTTCCACTGTTTTGGTACATTTTTGACGGCCCGACTGCAGTGATACCACGGCCTTACAGAATTCGAGTGTTATAAAATTAATTCATTGCTTTTCTCCCTCTCCTCTCTAATGATGTGGTAGGTGGCGGTAGTTATTCATCATCAGGTCTTCAATCTACCTGTTCGATCTCAATTCTCTAAAATATTTTTTTTTTAAGATTTTTTCTAGTAGGAACTCATATTCAAAAATTGTACGAATTTCCAGTATATCCATGGTGCTAAAAACTACCACAATTTCACAAAACCAAAACACCATCTGAAGCAAATGACTGACTTTTAAATGGCTTTCGAATAAAATTTATTTGAATTTCGAATTCCAAAAACATAGAGAAAAAAGCATAGAAATAACATGGGGTACAGCTGCCTGTAAGTAGAAGCGATACAGGCTACGAGACAGACGGTTGCACGTAAGTTTCCTCGGTCTCTGTTTAGCTCTCTGTTTGGTTAAGCTGCGATTGGCTGCTTATTAACCCCTTATGTTCCCAAGCCAACCACGGAGCCAGACTAGAAAGAGGTAGAGGCATCTATCAATCATCCATCTCTTTCGTTGCCTTTATTGCAAGATTGGGGTCTTGTTCTGTGTGTCTGGTTAAATCTCCAACTTCTGTTTTTATTTCTTTAAAAGACAACGCCCGCATTAGGAATATATCCTGTGTCGATGGGACTTTACAAACATACATGAAACGGACACAAAGATCACCCAGACTCAGAGCAACGATTTGAGGGTCACACAAATTGTCGTCCTATGTGGGGTTTGAACCCACAACACTCGACGTAGTAGGAAGTGGCGTGGCGACCTCTTAAACCACTACGCCATCCGTGCAGTCTACTTCATAGGTAAAGTTCTACTACTATGTTTTAATGATATGAATTAAATAATTTTATGACCTAATTAGGCAATGCTTGTTAAATTTGTTACGTGATTAAAAGTGTATTAGGTACTTCAAAACATTGAAGAGGTTGTCTGTCGGGGGGGTGTTGGCTGTCAGTCTTGACTTTGTCAACGCCTTTAACTCTCTCCCGTGGCGGACGATTAGGGAGGCACTTGTGTATCACCAGTTGCCTTTCTACCTGCGGGACATCATCGGGGTTTATCTCCGCGACAGGTCTATATCGTATATAGGTCGGAAAGATTGTCAAAAGGACATGCGGAGTTCTTCTGTGTAACCTCGCTTATGACGCCGTCCTGAGGACCAGCCTTCCCCTAGGATTGAGTGTCGTCCATTACTCGGACGACACTCAATGACACTCTAGTACTAACTGGTTCATGTCTTCCAGTAAGTCCTTTAGCTCGCCGAGTTAGGAGTGGCTTGTGTCGTCCAAGGGGTCAGCAGTCTGGGTCTAGGGGTTGCACCTCATAAGACGGAAGCTCTGTGGTTTCACAGGAAACGCAGAGGTGCAGTTCCCACCAGCACGCTTATTAAAGAGCTTATTACAGTCGAGCGTCACATACCGACTGACGCAGGAACTCACTGGGCATGGTTGCTTCGGTGAGTACCTGAATCGGATTGGACGCGAGCTTGACTATAATGCGTTAACCTTCCTACCAAAAATCATCCTTGACTTTGGCATCAATAAACATTCTCCGGCAGCCAACCAAAACTTTCTCCACATCATTGCGGAGGATTGGTCTGATTGGGTTACGCTTTATACAGATGCATCAAAACTTTCTTCAGATGCCTTTGTTGGTTCTGCAGTTTGGATTCCCAAATTTAAAATTATACTAAGTTATAAATGCTCTACCTACAACTCTATCTTTTCAGGAGAATCTATTGCCTTATTAGAAGCGGTCTCCTATGTGGAATCTCATAAGCTTGATAAGTCCCTTATTTTGTCAAACTCCTTGAGCTGCCTACAAGATCTTTTAAAAAATCCTTTCAAAGCTCGCACTAATTTCCCTATAATTCTTAAAATTAAAGAGGTTCTTCACAGATGCCTATTGTCTAGTATTGAAGTAGTTCTAGCATGGATCCCCAGTCATTCAGGTATAGCAGGCAATGAAACTGCGGACTCCTGCGCCAAAATAGCAGCTCAGACTGGATGCGCTAGCCACAAATTCTGCTTCGCCCGAGATCTGCGCTCCCTAGCCAAACTTTCATTGACTGAGTCCTGGAATAACACATGGCAAAGCAGTAGAATGATCAAGGGTAAATTTTACGGCTCTCTACAACCCTTAATTCCTGCTAGATCCTGGTTCTTCAAACAAAAACATGTTAATAAGTCAGCCACCTCCACTATAATTCGTTTACGATTAGGATTTGTCAGTACCCCAGTTTTTCTTGCCAAAATTCGAGTTCGTGATCACTCTCTATGTGAGTGTGGTCTCGATGAAGGCACTCTGGAACATATTTTCTTTTCTTGTCCTAAATTGGTCGTACCTCTGTATGATCTACTCCCTCAACAAATATCCCGACCCGTTAATTTGGCTTATCTATTAACTCTAGTATATACCCCATTTGTCAGGATCCTTTACCATTTCATTCGTATAAATAAAATAAATTTATAAAGTTTCCTAATACCTTTACTGCTATATTTTTTTCTACTGTCCTTTTTTTTTTTCTCTACTGTCCCACAGAACCACAAACAGAAACTATTGAAATCACAACAATTCCCTTTTGGTATACAAAATATTTTCAACCTATTAACTAATAAATCTACCTCCCACCTAGACATTGGCAAAATCATCGACATCCGATGGAGCCACTGAATTAAAGGAAGAAGAAAAAGAACTCACTCAACCAATGAATCCTAAACACGGCCTCGGTGGCCTCACTGGCTCCGCTTTAGCGACTTTCAAGCGAATTTTGATAGTGAGCCTAATACTATAGGAACTATAGCCTAGTACTAGTAGTATAGGAACTTAGATTTATATGTGTTAGTGTCATCTATTCTTACATTGATTTAATAGTCTGTGGCGTCTGGGCTGTGACAGTCTGTGGTTTTTTGTTAGCTTCATTTCCAGTACTCTGTGATCCCTCCTACTTATTGCTCTGCTTGTTTTGTCCGGCGATTTCATGCACATTTTGTAATACTAATGTGATGATAATTACAGTAATTGTATAAGATGAGAGACTAATAGAGTAAAAGTTATATAAAATCATGAAAAAATACAGTTTCGTGGACTTCAATCTATTTGTGTTGACAATTTTTTTTGGGGGTAATCTTCATATTCGGAATTAATTTCTGTAGGGTTTTCGTACAGAACATAATGATGGCTGCCATGGCTCCAGGCGGTCCTGGAGACCCTCATACTCAAATGAATACATACAGAAGCTACGTGACTATGTTGGCGGATCCAGGGGCGAAAGATGAAATCAAGCTCAAAGCTGCACAGGAACTTAGTGAGAACTTTGAGGTATTACTTTCATATTATGTTATTAGGAAGTGGGTTTTAGTCCAACAATTAAAAAATTATCAAGCCTACAGGACCTGACACGACAAAGTATGACCCGTAAATTAGTTATTAGTTTTTAGTACCGGTCTCAAACAGTTATTGTTTATTATACTAATTTAAAATGTTGCTTTAGAAGTGATTCTATAAAAAACTTCATCAACAGCCTTTCATAGTCCACTGCTGGACATAAGCCTCTCCTTAGAAAGGAGGTTTTGGCCTACTATACCACCCTGGCCAGACAGGTTGGTATAGGGTTTGTGGCAAGTTTTCCTTCTCTCTACAGTGCTGGTGTTCTGCGTAGTTTTTTCCCTTAGTCGGCTCTTACGACACCCACGGTATGAATAGGGGTGGTGACATTCTTAATCCGTCACCACACGGAAAAAAACTAAAAAAAAACTATTTTTTACCTTTCCATAGTCATAACTAAGAACCCTTAAAGTTTGGCCATAAGTATCTGTCTATACATCCGTCTGTCCGTCATTGCGGATCTCCCATTAGGGACTGTTGGAAAGCTGTAATTTGGCATGGGTAAATATATTTCCCATTATTAATAAAGCCGACAACATAGTACAAAAAAAAAATGGGTACCTCCCTAACATGTAAAGTTGAAATATTTTTTCTTCTCACCTATTCCATGATGTATTCATTAGATAGGTCTTTTAAAATATTTAAGGAGTGAAGGGACTATTTTTAGATTGAGTGGATTTGATTAAAATGCATTATAATAATACAAGGTACAACTTGTACAAACAAGTCAAATTCATCCCTCCACTAACTGTAAACCTTGAAAAATATGTTTGTAATGTGTACAATAAACTAGAATGAAAAAATATAGGTTAGTACTTTAAGAGTTAGCAGTTTGAGTCACCCCGCTCATGAATATATTGACTTGCTAAATTTCATACAAAACACAAAAAGAATATATAGATGTTTTATGATGATATACATATATATATGTCTATAGTCCATTGGTTTAATATAAAGAAACCTTAATTACGGTTACTGTATATTGAACCACTTAGGTATTTCAGCAAATTCACACACAAGCCGGTTGTATATGCAAAGGCGAAGTCGATGTCTAATTGTATGTTTGTCTGGTCGCAATAAACTCAAGTAATAATGACTGGATTGTAATGTGGTTTATACACATAGCATAGGGATTCATGAGGAAGGTTCGGTATATAATTTCTTAAGGTTTTGTGTAAAATGAAAACCAAAATATATCAAACAAGCAAAAAACATCCACAACTATAAATTTTACTAAAAAATCTTACGAATAAATAATATCAAATAAAGTTATAGTAGACTACGCTCAACCAATTCATACACATTATGCATACCACATCTAGCTACGCTGTACTCTGCGATAACAGAATTTGTACAATATTTAGTTTGCAAAAGTATTTACACTTACCCTCTTTATTTTTAATTTCATTTTTACTTTGTATTATCTACTTAGATTTGCCGCTCCATAATTATATTGTAATTTTATAATTATGTTCTCATGTAAGTGAGAATAAAATTTCCGAAAATGGTTGAAATATGTCCAAAATAGTTAAAAATATTAGATAAAGTCTCACACCGATGATGCACTACTCACATATTCGATGCAATAAGTTGAACTCTACTGAATTGAACTCTATAGAATTGAACTCTATATATATTAAACTACCTTACTATTGGGGGTATTGTCGTGCTTCGCGTCGTTGATCTTGACCAATATCGGTTACGCTACATGAAGGCAGGGCCTCAATTCTGCTATTTTATATTCACGCCAAGCCAGTGTCATACCACTGACACACTATTAAGATGCCATCGACTGGCCATTGGCATTGGTATAAATATCGGTAGTTAAAAATATATTACGTTTTTTGAGGAAATTATTTATTTATTTTAAATTTAAATAAATTATTAAAAAAATTAAATTGTAAAAAAAAAGAAATAAATAAAATATTAAGAATTGAAACCTCCTTTCTAAGGAGAGGCCTATGTCCAGCAGTAGAATATTAAAGGCTGTTGATGATGATTGATGAAGAATTGAGGCCCTGGGGGCCTGTAGTTGTTTCGGCGTTTCTTCCCAGAGTGAGTCTTAGGAAATGCCTTTTCCTTCTAGCTGTAAAGTTAGACTTGTAAAAAAAGCTGAAAAGATTTACTTAGAAATAAATATCATTTACCTTTGCAAAGTCAGGCTGCTAATCTAGTATAAGTACTATATCTACCTAAAGTTATATAGGGTATATTGAGAAGTTAGCACTGATAATAGGCTTGTGTCCACTAATAACAAATTGCTTGGTTTATAGTTTCAAATTATAAATGACATAGATAAGAAAAAACCAGTCAATTTCTCATAAAACTTAAAGATTATTAATATTAAAAAAAAAAAAAATCAAACAATATAGGCATTAAGTCACGTGACAGCGAACACCAATCAGAAAGTGTTACGTCACGCCATGCAGAGCAGGTTACTCCTTATTCTTTATTTCTTTTAAAGAAGACAACTCCCACACTAGGAATAAATCCTGTCGGACCCACAACACTCAGCGTAGTAGTGAGCGAGATATTGTTTTTCGTTTTTAGCATTTTTTCTCACCTTAATACAGTTTCAGTTGACACTGGACACAGATGTAAACAGTTTTGTTTCGCAGACTGTGACGTCATTCAAGACGCCATGACACTATTCAGCGTATAAAAAATATCAATATTATACGTAATATAAATATTGCTTTTTCTTTAAAGTATAGGTTTTTTTGGGATAAAATAAATATTAAAGTATATAATTAACTTAGTCCAGCTACCGACACTTATTGAAATAATCGTAATGTAGCTGACCGAAGAAGTAAGTTTTACCTGTAAGTTTTTATTAAAACATGAATTTTAACTTACAGGTAAAACTTACGTATTCATTAAAACAATGTTACCCTACACTGCATGCGGAGCCATACGCACTTGGCATATTTTCTTTTTTTTTCTTTTTTAAAATAACTCCCTCACTAGGAACTATTCGAATATAATCCTGTGTCGGGGAGATTTACAAACACATATGAAATTTACATTAAGAACACCCAGACATAGAACAACAATTTGTGGATCAGACAAAGTATTGTCCCATGTGGGGATCAAACCCACAACACTCGGCGCAGTAGGAAGCGGCGAGGCGACTGCTTAAACCAATTGCAACCAAAAGCAATTATATATTTTTAAACCATTTGGTCCACAGGTAATACTAAGTTCACCACAGTATCCACAATTCCTGGAACACTCCTTGAAAATTTTTCTCAAAATTCTTCAAGAAGGGGAACCACATTTTATTGCTGAATACAATATACAACAAGTAAGAAAACTCATTCTTGAGATGATTCATCGTCTGCCAATCAGTGAAACTTTAAGAGCACATGTGAGAAACATCTTAATATTGATGCTGAAACTAATGGAGATTGAAAATGAGGAGAATGTTCTGGTTTGCTTAAAGATTTTTATGGAATTGCACAAGCAGTATAGACCTGCATATAGCACTGACGTCGATGTAAGTTAATTTATTGCTTGAAGTTTTAAACACAGTCATTAGTATATTTGCATAGTTTGCTTAACTATTAAACCTTAATGCTTATTGGGTTAATACTCCATCGGTTACATATTAGAGTAGTTTCTTTTCCATTTTATCAGCGAAGTTTAATTTCTAAAAATAATCCAGCTATCATAAAATACAAATGCAATGTGGATCAACAGTTTTAACATATTATATCCATATTGCATTAATGTTTTGTGATATCTGACAAATACTTAATTCTAAAACTCATTATTTCTAAGAATTTCATTTCATTCAATTTTATTTTTTTACACACTTCTTTTCTATATTCCATTTATTTTTTTCGGCGCTTTTGTTTCCTGTTTAAACCTTGGTTGTTGCGAATATCATTATATTTTGTTAATAATTACATAATAAATTTGAAAGTGAGTTAGTTCGTTTGTTAGCTTTAAGGCCTCAACCATTAAACCGATTTTTGTGCTGAAGATGATAATGTATCATCTAGTAATATACAAGACTACTTTTTACCGCGACAATTGACATTCACGCGGTGTTACCGCAAGCAAAAGCTAGTACTCATTGGTATTGGTTGTGGGCTCCGATTTCCGCATTTAGACTCGAGAGTGGTCCTTTATGCGTCTAGAAGAGGTCCTTCCAGAAGCGAAGAAGCCTCCTGGGGCATTCACAGGCTTCTTGGAGCGATTTTGTCCCAGGTATACTTGCCCGTTGTGTTTGCCACTCCCTCAGATTCCAGGATTACGTGGGCGGCCGTTTCTTCTGCTTTCAGGCATCCTCTGCAAAGAGGACTGTCCGTCGCATTAATGATGAATAGTTGTCGGTTCCTAGGACTAGGTTTCTTGTTATGGTTCCTGCAACTATTCGGATATCTAGTCTGCTAAGACCGTTCAGTGTGCAAGTAAGTCGTGGTGAGACTTCAGTTAGCACCAGTTTGGACTGGTGCTGGTGCTTTTGGTTAAAAGGCAGTTTCAGGAGTGTGGTTGGGCCGGCAGCCAGGGTTGCCTAGCCCCTTCTTGCCAACTCATCTGCAGCGTCATTCCCGTGTGATTTACTATGGCCTTTAATCCATTGGAGGAGTACCCCGTTTGTTGTGGCAAGCTGCTCCAATGCTTGATGGCATTCGAATACAATACCAGAGGAATTGGAATCGTCCGTGTGAATTCGGACTTCGATTGTGCCAGATTGATCTCGGTCATTTCCTTATGTCAGAATGTCATATCTCCTTGTGAAGATATGGTGTTTTGGGATCAGGAATTGAGAATAGTGGCTAAGCTAGTACTTAATAACAAAGTTATTTTAAAAATGGGTTTTAGTGTAAGTATAGATTAAGTCGTATTTGCTAATACTTCTGTACTAGACCATGTTTCTATAATTAGGTTAAGATTAATTACACAATTTTCTAGAAAAATCACATACTTCATTTTACTTTATGCTCCTATCAAACAAACACTAAATAATTTTAAATCTAAAATATATATCATTTTTCTTGAATGTAGTAATAATATTTCGTAGTATCCAAATATGGTAAAAACTGAATTTCGTATTTTTTTTAAACCGACACTATCCTACGATGATGATTATATAAAAACGTATGGTTGGTTTGTGTACACTCCAAAAACTTAATAAAATTTTGTCATGATAAACATACCATTTTAAAGATTGTTTTTATCTATTTTGCACGTTAGTTTATTTCTCGTCTATAAAACAACAACGTGGCACAGCAAAGTGTAGCCTGCCACAAAATTATTAATAAATTAAAATATAACTTCTGTATTAAATACTAGTATTTAATAAAGAAGTTATATTTAATTTTACATTTTATGCCTGAATCTAATTATTTTCTGAACTTTCTGTCTCTAGATACATAAGTTTCTACAATGGGTTAAAGGAATATACTCTGATTTACCAAATCATTTGCCAAAAATATTTGAACCTAAGCCTACAATAAGGGTGAAGGATTTATCTGAAGTTAACATCGACCAGTTGTTATCAGAGACTTACACCACAACACCAATACATACTGAAAAGAAATTACTTGATGGCAGTGTTGTTACTGTAAGTATATTGTGTTCCATATCTTATTTTGTCAGATCATCATATTAGGCAAGTTCAGTTTAAATAGCGCCTGTTAAAAAGCAATTAATTCAAGCATTTTGTTTTATTTGTTTTGTAGTACAATCTCATTCCAAGATCTGTGCTGTCACTAAAAGTGATACAGGAGTTACCAATAATAGTGGTTCTCATGTATCAATTGTATAAGCAAAATGTCCATCAAGAGGTTAGCAATTTTATACCACTCATTATGGAAACCATTACTTTGCAACCTGCAGCGACACACAGGTAATAATTTGGTATCACTCTTAAGAAATTTATTATAGACTTTATTTAATGAATAAAACATATTCAATTAAAATATATTTTTATTATACGGAATACATATAAGTATTACTTACAGTCAGATTGACCATATTTTTTTATAAATGTGACCCAGATTCATTTACAGTACTATAGATAGTTTATTTTATTAAGATATTATGAGTGGTATATCTTGCAAGAAATGCATAAAGTAGAATCTTTATCACAGTCACACTCCCAGTCTTACATGTGCCTTAATATCTATATTTCATAAACCTTAAGGGTTCCTTTCTTACTTTTGAAGTATGGATCCCTAAAGTAACAATTGTTACTTTTAGGGAATCCTTGTAGGATCACTTTGTTGTCTGTCTGAAACACAATAATACTTATAATATATTATTATGTTTTATATATTATTGTTGTGCGAAACCCTCAGGGGACGAGTCCGGCTCGCACTTGTCCGGATTTTTTCTATTTTCGAAATCATCAGCATCAATGTTATTATTTTTAGGCAATCTGCCTCGTTTAATAAGGAAGTATTTGTGGACTTCATGGGTGCACAAATCAAGACATTGGCTTTCTTAGCCTACATTATTAGAATATATCAAGACACGATAGCTAATCATGCTAACTTAATGGTAAAAGGTATTATTGGTTTATTGACCTTGTGTCCACCTGAAGTAGCGCATCTTAGGAAAGAGTTGGTGATAGCTACACGGCATATACTTGCTACGGATTTGAGACTAAGTAAGTTGACTTCAATATTACAAATTGTTTTGGTTATTAAGTGCAATACAGATAAAATAACAGACATATTTTTGAAATTTATAATCCACATTTTTTTAATAAAATACCTTGTCTTAATTCAAGAAGTGTATTACAGGTTTTTTTATTATTTAAATGTAAGTAAATGCATTTTTCTAACGAGATTTATAATCGTTAGGACTAGTATCATACTCGAATCTTATAGGTATGCGAAGATTTCAGGTCTTTATATTTTTTGTAAATTACACCACAACTCATCCTGCACGCCAAAAAGGTGTATGCCTATTTTAATTCATTTTGTCTCCCGCTGTGCTAAGGAGTGGAGTTATAATATTTCCGACTAATCCAATTTTCTTCTGATTAATTTCTCGAGTGTCATAACTCCCAGGAAAAACTCTGAACAATTATCTTTATGAATGTATTCAACATCAACAGCCTTTAGTAGTCCACTGCTGCACATAGGCCTCTCCTTAGAAAGGAGGTTTTGGCCTACTATACTACTGACATGAATGTATTCATAGCTGCCAATTCTTGTCTTTCAGAATTCGTGCCTTACATGGAGCGATTATTTGACGAGGACGTATTATTAGGAGGAGGCTGGACCGTCCACGAGTCGCTGCGACCACTCGCATATTCAACACTAGCAGACCTTGTCCATCATGTACGACAACTTCTGCCACTCACTGATCTCGCTATAGCTGCACATCTCTTTTCAAAAAACGTGCATGACGAATCTCTTCCCACTAGGTATCGATAAAAATGTTAATTAATATGACTTTATTTGACTATAGTCCATGCGAGTTAAGTAAATAGTGAGGCATCGGGGGAAAAGGTATATTCAGGGTAGAGTAAAAATATTAATAATTTACATTTGTACAACAATTTATATTTTTATAGATTTACTAGCTGACTCAACTTTTTAAAACTACCATTTTCAGATTAAATTATGTGTGGATTAGCGCGCAATTCGAAATTCAAATAAATTTGATTCGAAAGCCATGTTATTATAATGTTGTGTATTTAAAATTCTGTCAAGACGACAATTATGTATGAAAAATGTACAAAATAGCAACTTATGTCGACACTATTTTAGACTACTCAATTTAAGAATATATTTCTATGTTTATTAGATTTAAATGCGTAATAGTTACAAAAAGCTAGAATCATTATATTTTTCGAGATGTTTTGTGATATTGGTTTCAATATATATCTGACGTTCTTATATATTTATGATACAGTCAACTACCCTATTTTTTGCAACCTGTTTGGTCAAGGGGCGAATCTTGAACAGTGGACAACGATGCGTCATTATTTTGTTAACGCGAATGCACTATAATTTGTAAAGTTGTGATGTTATGTTTTGAACAATACAATTTCTAACTGTAATGTTATGTTTTAGCATCCAAACTATGTCCTGCAAGTTACTTTTAAACTTAGTGGACTGTATACGCCAGCGCTCTGAGAGCGAGGGAGCAGCTGCCGCGGGCACACAGCCGCAAGGTCGCCAGTTGCTCATGCGCATCTTAGAAGTCTTCGTGCTAAAATTCAAGACCATATCTAAGTTGCAACTTCCAGCTTTAATGAATAAGTGGTTAGAAATATATTATGCTTTAGCCAGTTGAAATATACAGTTCTGATGCCTATTGTTGTATACAAGATAATAACCGAGGGTTTGACTCCATAGAATGACTTCGATACCAACTTACATATCCATTTCACCTCACTTTGTTTTATTTTTACAAAAAGTACTCATGTCCTGTTTTTATACCAAAGTTTATTAATGTAACTCTCCGGTTTGCCGGTTTATATTATGTTTTACGCCTAAGCATTAAAGTATAATATACAGAGTTACTAAGGTACCTTTTTACTTATTACGTTATAGGTAGAGATGATTATAATTTTAATCCAAATGTAATTTATTCTAGCAAGCAAACGACCCCTCCGCCGAATGGCACTAACAGCGGAGGCACAACTCCGGGCACTCCCACTACTCCGACTCCTGCAATAACGGCAGTAGAAGTTAAAGTAGAAGAAGAAAAACTTGCGCCTGATTTCTTAGATGCAGCTGTGAAAAATGAGGAGAAATCTAAAATCGGTTTCCCTTCGTCCCAAATGAGTAATTTGAACGTAGGAGACTATAGGACATTAGTAAAGACGCTAGTGTGTGGAGTGAAGACCATCACATGGGGGTGTGCTTCGTGTAAGGTAAGACTTATAATATATATTGAGGTCATAAGGTTTTTTTTTTATAATGTTAATACTAATACTTTAAGTATAAATTGACATTATGAAGACCTCTAAAGGGACATTGATTGTTGTTAATATTTGATATGTCATAGGTTATAAACGATCTGTGTATTTATTGACCCCTACATGTACATATTTGTGTATGTTTTTATAAATCGCACCCTCGGTGCAACAAAGTCACAAGTAGGCAAAATTGCCAAAATGACTTAAATATGCCAAATTGTCTATAAACCATTTCTTCGTTTGGGAAATCAAAGACAGCCGCGAAAGTATTTGAATATATCGATAGATGGCATTAGTGCCTTTGTGGTTTTTGCTACTTTTTCGACGAATATTGGGAGAACAGAGTATGATTGGTAAGTAGTGACCCCGCGCCCGCATAAGTCAGTCGTGACTTGGAGCTACACCAGCTTAAAGGTATTAATGACAATTTTTATTCACGTATATTGAAAAAACAAAGTGCCATTATAACGCTCAAATAATTAAATTATATTTGTACCTGGTGCGACATAGTCACAAGTTACGACTTTTTTTTTTGTTTCCCTTTTTTTTTCAATTTTCTAATAAAATCAAAGAAATCTTTTTACATGATACTGTAGTTAAAAGAACAAATAATATAATTTTAATGAGATATCCCGGCTGCTGTAGGTAGTAATCTAGAAAAAAGGAAAATTGATCAAAAAAAACTTAAAAGTCCGTTCCTGTAAAATTACAAAATGACCTGTTGTGACTTTGTTGCACCGAGGGTGCGATATCTTAGTAGTATACATACTGTAATCATTACATATGATTACAGTATGTATACTACTAAGTTTATGGTGCCTAAGATACAGATGTTAAGCCTAGTTCACATAATGTAGTAGACATAATTCTCCTACTAATTAAGATCTTATGTATTATTAATTAATGCAATTAGTAAATCTATACTAATATTATAAAGCTGAAGAGTTTGTTTGTTTGTTTGTTTGTTTGAACGCGCTAATCTCAGGAACTACTGGTCCGATTTGAAAATTTCTTTCAGTGTTAGATAGCCCATTTATCGAGGAAGGCTATAGGCTATATATCATCACGCTAAGACCAATAGGAGCGGAGCACCAATAAAGAATGTTTCAAAAACGGAGAAGATTTATTACTATTGAGAGACGCAGACGAAGTTGCGCGGGTCAGCTAGTTAATAATACAAGGTGTACTTTTATAAGATCCGACTAAGGAAGCAAACTAAGCAGTCCTGCTTAGTTTGCTACAGCACTACAAAGAGAAGGATATAGTAGGCCAAAACCTCCTTTCTAAGGAGAGGCCTATGTCCAGCAGTGGACTAGTATAGGCTGTTGATGTGTACTTTTATAATCCTTATAATATTATAAAAATTCACCACAATCATCATCATCAAGATCAATCAAAGAGCTTTTAATAGTCCACTACTGGACATAAGCCTCTCCATAGAAAGGTTTATAAAAATTCACCACAGACTACCCTAAATTGGATTTGACAATATCCGTGTTAGGGTAGTCCGTGTTTACAAAATATGTACCGTAGCAGTTTGCAATAAAGATGTATAAATTATTATTTTTTCTAAGGTTTCTTCAAAACTTGTAATGTTTTATGCCATACAGACAACGACAAGTACGGAAGGCGCGTCCACGACCACTATAACGGGTCAGAAGCAGTTCAGCGCGCGCGAGACGCTCGTGTTCATTCGCTTGGTGCGGTGGGGACTGCAGTCGCTCGACATCTACACGCTGGCTGCGCCGCGCGCGCCCGCGCAGCCGCCAGCGCAGCCGCACGTACGCTCTAAGGAGGAAAAAGAAGTGCTCGAACATTTCAGTGGAGTTGTGAGTTGTACATTTCCACATATTTATTTTTAAGGAAGATTTGCAAAAATTTAACAACTCATCAATTGAAAAAGAACCGATCAGTCTTCGGTTTCTTTAAAATGATGACACTCTGGGGATACCAGGAGTGTCATAATTTTAATAACGATAGTTAAGCAGCGATCGGTGGTCTACAGGGGATAGTGGGTATTAAATATATAAATCATCATTTCTCCTCCTGTCTGTCCATATTTTCAACTACCGATATTTATACCGATGCCAATGGCCACTCCATAGCATCTCAATAGCGTGTTAGTGGTCTGACAGTGGATTGACGTAAACATAAAATAGCAGAATTGAGGCCCAGGCGGGGGATCATGCCTAGCGGGCCGCGGCCCAACGGTTGATGTTGGAAAGTTGTATATATGCTAATCGGCGAGAGAATTCTTCTTATTCGGTGTGTCTTCGTTAGATGGCGCTGTAGTATGTTTCTGTTTCCCCAACCATTTCAGACCAATATCAGCAATATCGCTACTACTGCACTACTTAGTGGTGCAGTAGTAGCGTTTGCGACTTGCGCTGAGGTCTCGGGTTCGATTCCCGGGTTCGACCAAATATTTGTATGATCTGTTAATGTTTGAATTAGACTTTGGGTTTTTTCTTTGTATAGTATGTATGTATTTACAAAGAAAAGTATCTAGGTACTCTACAAGTCAATCTAGTTTTCAAAATACAAGCTCTGCTTAGTTTGAAATTAGATGGCGTTGTGTGTCAGATTTCCGAAAAATATTATTATTAGCATTAATTTATCTATAATAACAAATTGTTGAGTCTGTTGCAATCTGATTTCAGGCATGGTCATGGTACTACTGCCACTCTTAAAGCGTTGAACGATATTAGAGTGGGTGTGGAAGACTCCGAAGTTACTATATTGGTATTGGTTGACTACTCGAATGCTCTCATCCTCTATCCTATCCTTTCCTATCTTATGATCCAACCCGAAGTACTGGAATGGTTCTCATCTTATCTAGGGACGCCAGCAGTCTGTTCGTGTCGATAAATCTTCTTCGAACTGGTGTGGTCTTGGTTCTGGTGCCCCTGGAGACGGTTTTCTTTTTTGCTATTAAAAAAAAACATAAAATAACCGACCCACTCGAATCGTTGTTTGATGCATCGAACAAGATAGTATTATATCGTAGAAAAATATTTAACAATTCGTCATTTTCCTTAATTATTGTTAAAATTTTGTTTGTATAAATTACCTTCAACCAAAATATACATAGTTCCTGTTTTCACTGTATCAACCAATGATTGATTGGTAGAGAATGTCTTAAGTATTAAGTCCGCCAATGCAACAAATGTGCATGATGTGTAATTAAATAAATTGATTAATAAAATGATATTGATTCATAATAATGAATCTCGATGAGTCAAAAATACGGGCTAAACGGTTGTATGGCAGTCATTTTCAAAGTTATAAACACAAATTAAGAAAAAACCACGCGAGCGAAATAAATAAGTATGTTATTTCTTTCTTTACAGTTCTCAATGATGAATCCGCAGACATTCCAAGAAATATTTACAGCTACAATATCGCACATGGTGGAAAGGATAAATAAAAATACAACGTTACAGATAATTGCTAATACGTTTTTATCGAACCCTGCGACATCGCCAATATTCGCTACAGTCCTAGTAGAGTACCTGCTCGAAAGAATGGAGGAAATGGGCACAAATGTTGAAAGATCTAATCTTTATCTTCGACTTTTCAAATTGGTCTTCGGCTCTGTAAGTTTGTTCCCCACTGAAAATGAACAGATGCTGCGCCCTCATTTACACAGTATAGTCAATAAAGCTATGGATTACGCAATGACAGCCAAGGAACCGTATAATTATTTTCTACTTTTGAGAGCTTTATTTCGTTCTATCGGTGGTGGCAGCCACGACTTGTTATATCAGGAGTTCTTACCACTTCTACCTAATCTTTTAGAGGGGCTTAATCGCCTACAGAGTGGCCTTCATAAACAACACATGAAAGACCTGTTTGTAGAGTTATGTCTGACCGTACCTGTTAGATTAAGTAGTCTATTACCTTACTTACCGATGCTTATGGATCCATTAGTATCAGCATTAAATGGTTCTCATACACTAATATCACAAGGCTTACGTACCCTCGAACTTTGCGTCGATAACTTGCAACCTGACTTTTTATATGAGCACATTCAACCTGTCAGAGCAGATTTGATGCAGGCCCTTTGGAGAACTTTGCAGAATAATGAAGTTGCTAGAATAGCTTTTAGAGTTCTAGGCAAATTTGGTGGAGGCAATCGCAAAATGATGATTGAACCACAAAGACTAGAATATCGCGAAACAGACGCGCCACCCCCAGCCATTCTAGCATATTTCCAAGAACAAACAAAACCAATAGACTTCGAAGTAGACAAAGTAATAGAGACAGCTTTTTCGGCGTTAAAGTCAAGCATAACAGATCCGTTTTATAGAAGACAGTGTTGGGAAGTGCTCCGTTGTTACTTGGCATCGTCTCTCAATTTAGACGATGATAAAGCGACATTACAGAAGTTATTTAATCACCCCAGTTTCGTAGATGGTAAGATTCAGGTTCAGAATGGCCCTTATTACAAGTGCATGAACAGTATTGTAAGAAATACTCACCGAACCGCTCTGACAGGAATGTTTGTGGCCGCGGCCATCAAAGAACTACGCCATCTTGTGCTGCCAACAATGGTATCGTTAGTACGTCACTACACTATGGTAGCTATTGCACAACAGGCAGGACCTTTTGTAGAGAGCTCTCAGCCGAAAGAAGGTCTAGATGCTTTGGTACTCGTAGACGCCATAGCCGTCATTATGGGTCACGAAGAAAAGGAGCTCTGTAAACCTGGTCATCTGGCGTTGGTTCTTATGATAGAAACTGCGGCTACTGTGCTCGGAAGTAGAGAACGCGCGTGCCGTTTACCGTTGATGGAGTATCTTGCTGAACGAATGTCAGCCTTATGCTATGAACGTGCTTGGTACGCTAAATTAGGAGGATGCATAGCTGTCAAGTTCATGGTAGAGAAAATGGCTCCAGAATGGGTTTACAAACATGTTTATACGTTTTTGAAGGCTGTTCTATTCGTTATGATGGACTTGACAGGCGAAGTTTCGTCGGGAGCTATAGATATGGCTACGGTAAACCTTGAGCGTTTAGTACGAGTCTGTGTGGTTGGTCCATGCGTTCAAGGTATAGAAACTGAGGGAGAGCTCTCTGCAGCGAAGACTAAAGCTTTACACGACGTCCACCAAGAGCTTGTATTACAAGTAACGAGTCCTCATCTACTAGTGCGTCAACAGGTAAACATCTTGTAGTTATTACAATTTCGTGCTCTTGTAGATGTGTATTGTTCGTACTTGGTACTCTGAATATTGTGATTTTTCCTCAGGCAATGAAATCCTTGGAGCTAATAGCTGAATTACAAAAGAAATCTGTAACAGAAGTAATGGATCCACATAGAGAGGTACTGGCAGATATTATACCTCCTAAAAAGCATTTACTTCGCCATCAGCCAGCCAATGCTCAAATGGGTCTAATGGATGGTACGACGTTCTGTACTACTCTAAAACCGAGACTTTTTACGATAGGTAATACAATTTTTTATTAAATTGTTGTAAAATTGTTGCATAATACATAGAAACTTATTATTATTATTATTTTTTAGATTTGAACATACAAGAACATAAAGTATTTTTCCGCGAGTTACTTTCGCTATGCGAAGCTGAAGATGCAGTATTAGGCAAGCTGCCGTGCTACAAAAGTGTTAACTTAGTTCCTCTTCGGGCATCAGCTTTAAGAGCGCTGGCTGCTTGCCATTACATACAAGACAAGCATTGTAGGGAGAAAATATTTCATGTTCTTTATAAATCGCTTGAGAAGAATGATCAGGAGTTGCAACAAGTAAGTTTTATTTTGTGAAGTAAGAGTAGTTTATTTTATTAGTGTATTTTAGTTGTTAAAAATAATCGAAAACATGAGAGAGTTTTCGATCATTCCTTTACATTACTGATTATTCAATCAATCAATTTAAGGAAAGTTACTAAGAATTTTTATACAAATCGATGAGATTAATTGTGAAGATTATGTAAAAAAAGTAATTTAACTGATTTGACAGGGCAACAAAAATTATTCGTTTACGATTTTCTTGATCCGTCAAGAAATTGACGGATCAAGAAAATCGTAAACGAATAATTTTGATTATTCAATAAACGAGTTACTTAGGTCAGCTTGTTGACTGCAATGACAATTCTCGTGACAGCCAGCTCTCATTGGTATCGACTTTAGTACTTACATCCTACATGTCATGTAAACAATAAACTGAAATAACTTTTGAAAAGTTTTAAAAATCTGGTAATTAAAACGGATTGTTAATGATATTACCAGTCAATACATACAAAAATATTCCCTACCATGACATACGCAAGGCGGTACAAAAATATCATACATGCCTGCCATTATCGTATGAATACTTAGCTAGTACCTACTGTTTTGCCGTTAAAAGCTTTATACGCCTCTGTCCTGCTATTAGGTCACACTAGATTCACAGATTGTTTATTATAAGAAACATACAATTTTTTTAGGTGGGATTCGAATGTATGCAGAAATTCCTATCAGGCTTCCAAATAGACATGGAAATGGTGCATCCAGTGATGCGACCTTTATTGTTGACGCTTGGAGATCACCGACATTTGAGTGTCAATGGGGCGAAAAGACTATCATATTTAACGCAGCTGTTTCCATCCACATTTAGTGAGAAACTATGTGAGCAGTTACTGCAACTGCTTAAAAAGTTACTGGACTATTCTATACAGACGAATAGAGGTAAGCCTAAATAGTAAAAGCATCTTAAAAAATGTCTTAAAAGAAAACCAACCAGGCTTTAGATGTCGAGATCATGAGATCTTTAAATAAAACAGTCTATTGCAGTTCTTCGTCAAAACTACGTGTATTGATTTATGTTATTATCTTTAAAATATTATCCATTACTCTCGTCAGGTGGCAATTTCCTGCAAAGTGTATCAAAGAACAACGAAAATGAGCAGAAAATAATAATTTTAATAGGCATCTTTCATCAAATCCCTGCTGCGTCACCGCGGTTCATAGATGTGCTTTGTCGACTTATTTTCCACACAGAGAAGTCACTCATGATAGAAGCTGGTTCTCCTTTCAGAGAGCCTTTGGTTAAATTTCTTATGAGGTAAGTGCAAGGTGTAATAAAACAATGGTGGAAATAGTGATTGAAATTATCTTTAAAAAGGACACATGTTAAGAGTTAAAAGTTTAAAAAAGAAAGAATGTAGATTAGATTTTATAACGATACCACGGAATCCGACTATGCCCGTGCCGTGCGAGTTTCAAATAACTATTTTAGTATTTCAATAAATTAAATCTTTATGATCTATATAAATAAAAATGAATCGCCAAACTCGAGAACGGCTGACTAATTTGGCAAGATTATTTTTTCAAATTTTCGATAAGGCACAAGGAAAGTTCTTATTGAGAAATAAATGTAAAAATTGCGAGGAAAATAGTACACTACAAGTACACTATTCTTTTCCCATACAAACTACAGAGTAAATTAAAACATATCCCTGAAGAAAAGTAATCTCTTTTTAATACGTTTTATGTTTTCTGTTGGACTGCGACAGGCCAATATCTCTTTACAGAAATAATAAGAGGACATTTTTGTATAGGTATCTCTACCAACGTGCAAAAAAACGAATTTACTCTCAAGAGTCTAGTTTTTGTTTAACTGTTCACTAGCAACAAGATTCTGGCGATGTTTACCGTTTTTTCGAAATATTCAAAATTTATTAACTGCTTAGGCACTATGAGTGTCACTACGCGCTACGACACATGAGTCACTGTCACAACACTGCAATGGTTATTATAGACGTAAAATTAATTATTCAATAAAATTGCTAGAACGACTCAAACGCATCATCAAAAACATTAATAAAACAAATATCAACAGACGCCGGCCATAACCAAGTTGACAATGACACTGACATTTCATAATTCAGTGCCGAAATGACTTGACTGTAAGCGTTTTGAGTTTCTATAATACGCAATGTTTATTTTATAAAAACATGAGTGAGACAAATAAAAGTATTTAATAGAAGAATTTTAATTAATTAGAAATTGTTTTTAGTATTTTAATTATTTACAAGATTTTTATCTAAAAACTTCACAAATTAACTTTTGTTTAACGGATTTGCCGTTTTTGCGGCAGTAGTTGTTAATAATTTATTATTGGTGTTAATGTACCTGTGACGCAATATGGTACGGGGCATGGGCATTCTCCACATATACACATATACATTCATATTTTATACTATTTTTAAGGTATGTTTTTTATTTTTATTTTCAGATACCCTAAAGAAACTTTAGATTTGGTATTGAGTGACAACAACATCAAAGATCAGCAATGGAGTAGATTCCTTGTATTCTTGATCAAACATCCAAAAGTGGGCCCTCCATATAGGGAAGCTTTACAAACGACCAAGAAGCCCCGTTTAATGCAATTGTTGGCCGCCAACACGGCCGGCACCGCGACCAACGTGCCACAGGCCGATAGAGCCGAAATGCAGTACCAAGCAATAAGAGCAATATCCCTTTTGATTAAGTTCGATGACAAATGGTTGGCGAGTCAACAAGATCTGATTGAGTTATTAAAACGTATTTGGTGTAGTGACCAATACCATGTAAGTATTTTTTAGGTAATCTTGTAACAGTTGTTTTTGCTGTCTTTATTTTGATATTGATTGTATGTAAAATAGATTACACTGTATTTAATATCTATTACTTTCATGTATTTCTTATATTTTAGGAGATTCATAAGAAAGTAGAAATTGTTGACTGCACTCATTGGAAGGAGCCTAAACTAATTGTGAAGATATTACTTCACTACTTCTGCCAACACAAATCCAATATAGATCTCTTGTTCCAATTGTTGCGAGCTTTGTGTGACCGGTTTATTCCAGATTTCCAGGTATGTAGAGTTAATACACTTTCTATAGATATTCTACTTAAATTTGTAAAGAATATACTTTTTTACACTGTTAAGATTAAAAAAATAACAATATCATATAGTGTTATGTATAGGTACAACAATTATTGAACATAGAGGTGATGTATACTGTAAAGTAATTTAAATAAAAGAAAAAAATGCCAACATACGAGGACTGCTATTTATGTATCTGGAATAACAAAGTAAAACAAACATATAGTATTTATTACAGTTTTATTGCGTTTCAAAATATCCGCCGTGTCGATTGATGCACTTTTGCATACGTTGGAACCAATTTTTGTTGCACTTTTTCTATTCTGATTGTGGTATTTCCAAAAGATGCATTTTGAACGCTCCAACAGCCTCTTCACGGCTCGAAAAATGTTGACCACGTAATTTATTCTTCACGGTTGGAAATAAATGGAAGTCGTTGCCAAGTCAGAGCTGTACGGCTGATGGCCCGTTAATTCGATCTTTTGATTTTCCAAATACTGAATTGTTTCGGCCGATGTGTGGCAGCTAGCATTGTTATGATGAAGAAGAATTCTGCGTTGTCGGTTATTCTTTTTTATTTCTTCAAAGACTTCTGGCAAACAAATGGTCGTTTACCATTCAGAATTAACCGTTTTACGACCCTCTAGGGGCACTGTAGCCACTTACACCAAAAAAACAAGTGACCATTTGCTTCAAAGTGCTTTTTGAACGAATGACTTTTGTTGGGTTCGGCTTATCTTGGAACACTCACATTGATTGTACTCTTGTAATATTTTTTTACACCAATCGACACGAGCCCGTTTTGGTCAATTCTCAAGTTGTGCGGAATCCAACGTGAACAATTTTCTTTTGCTAAATGTTAGTATAATATTTTATATATACTAATTATAATTAAAAAAAAAACCAGTGCCGCCTCTATCTCGGGATATATAATATGACGATCTTGCATTATTAGTTCCCGCACAGCAATTCAATATTCTGAGGTACAACAATAGATTTAGGGCGACCTTCTTTAAATTCGTCCGTGAGCACAGACCGTCCTCGATTAAACTCACTAAACCAGTGACACACAGTTGTTTTTGGTGGTGCTTCATCCCCAAAAGTCAAACTGAGTTGATCGATGCACTGTTTTTGAGTAGCCCTCGAAAATCGTAATAAATAATAACACGAAAATTTTCACAAGTTAAATAGTGATAAAGACATGCAAATTTCAAAATGACGCCACAAAGGATAAACAAATGAAAGCTACATGAAACAAATTGTATTCTTCAGCCGAAGAGTTCCATTTTTAAATGTTAGGACTACTTTTTTAATACTGTTTTATAACTGGCCAGTTCCGGATACATAAATAGCAGCCGTCGTAACAATCCTCTTATAATTATAAATTAAAATATATATTTATTTAAACCTAGCATTTGAATAGAGATCCATCAGATACAAGCATATTTAATAAAATAAAAAACATTCGTAACATTTTAACGGGACTTTAAACATTATGCATTTAGCGTGTGCAATTTCTGATCTTTTTCTGATCACGGTTCACAGTTATCATTCTAATTTTGCTAACTTGCACCTTTATATGTTTTCTAATACTAACTTGTTAAAAACTCAATTTTCATATTTTATATTCCATAAAAATATCTTATAATACTTTTCATACCTTTTCCTTTGAACAGTTCCTTCGAGACTTTCTGGAAAACACAGTAGCTCAGACGTACGATGTGGAATGGAAGCGTGCAGCGTTTTTCCGTTTTGTGGAGCATTTCTCTAGCGACGCAATGTCTCAGGACCTTAAGGCAAAGGTCCTACAAATGATCCTGATACCTTGCTTCGCGGTCAGTTTTGACAAAGGCCAGAAGATAGTCGGCGGACCGCCGGCACCCTATCAGGATAATCCAGACAACGTCGTCTCGGTGTTTATCAATAACGTAAGTGGTTTAGTCTGCACATATCGTTATAACTAGAAACTTTATAAACTATTCATGGACGTTATGATAATAATTACACAGTGCGCATGAATGAATGAATGAAATCCAAATATAACGATATTATTTATGATTTGCCCGGACTTTAGTAAACAGTATGCTTTCTATATATCTATATATATATATATCTATATATATATATTCTATATATATCTATATATATATATTCTATATATATCTATATATATATATATATATATATATATATATATATATATATATATATATAATAAAATATCAGATTTGTAGCTAAGCTTTTGTTTCCTATTTCATGTTTAGTCTCGAGACTCGAGACTAAAGACTCGAGACTAAACAAGAAATAGGAAACAAAAGCTTAGCTACAAATCTGATATTTTTAATCTAAATCTGAAATGATAATGAACGTATTAGTCGAGACTCTCGACTAATACGTTCATTATCATTTAAAGTCGCTCAATACTATAAATTCACTTTTCTTTTTAGGTAATTGACCCTGAAAATCCTTTCGCATGTTCTGACGCAGTGCGTATTTCTCTACTCCAATTCGCTTGCCTATTGTTAGAGCAAGCGTCTGCGCACATCCACGACGCAAATAACAAGAAACAAGGTAACAAACTCCGTAGACTGATGACGTTTGCCTGGCCGTGTCTACTTGGGAAAAATTATGTTGATCCTGCGACAAGGTAAGTTTATAGCTACCAGTATGAATTTATTTGTTTTTAGCAAGCTATACTTTGCAAGTTGATAATGACTCATTTGGTCCCACGATCCAGCAAGGCTAGTTATAAAAAGTGTTGAAATCGGTGATGTTAAACAAGATTTAATCATTGGGAGAGGCCTATGTCCAGCAGTGGACAAGCATAGGCTGAGAAGAAGAAGAAGAAGAAACAAGATTTCAACTTTATCAAAATACAATGCATAAGATCAAAATAGGCTCACTGACTACACTGTCAAAATATATATAATTTTTTAAATTACATCCCTTTTTAACGATGTACATGTGTGGTTAAAACTATCCATTATTTAACCGTGTAATGTTTCAATTAAAAAAGGGAGTAGTACCTTTTTGATAGGAAGCAATCTAAACATGCATTCATCTCTCATCTCTTCGTTTTTCAGATATCATGGCCATTTATTATTGAGTCATATTATAGCAAAGTTCGCTATACATAAACGGATCGTATTGCAAGGTGAGTTCATAAAACTTACTTATTGTAGAAACGTAAACATTTAAGTTTTTGTATTAGTAGTGATTTTAATCCTATCCATATAAAGGTCACTTTTGGCCCACTTAAAGAACACTTTTTCAATGGCTCCATACAAAATGAAATTTCTCATAACATTCAAACTCGTCAAAAAATCATTAAAAGACTGGAGACAGTCCGTGCAGTGAATGTTTACGGTGGAAGAACCATCAAGTATATTATTCCCCGCCTAATACATAACTTAAATCCTTCCTTTACACAAAGAATAACAAAAGTAAATCTAAAACAAAAATTAAAAACACATTTCGTGAACAGCCTATAGATTCCCTGTGCGAAACCTGTTTCACTGTCTGCTCGGGAATAAAAGTGTCCGCCCGCTCGTCAATACTATGTTTTTGTATCCTACCCTAAACTTAATACTTTTAAGTCAATGTTATTGTTTCAATTGCTTATGTTATTCACTTATTAATTGTTAAGTACTAGATTGATTTTGCATATTGTAGCATGCCGCATAAACCCCAGTGGTATAAGGTTTGCCTACATTTACCTAATTGTGTAATTATGTAAATAAATAACTGTGTTATGTTGGATATCAAAAATCGAAATAAACAATTGTTTGAATTCAAATTTCGTTCAGACTGAAGATGGGTCTAAAAAATTGCGTATATTTTCCTCGCCTATTAGAGGTATATAAGCTTGTGTAAACTGTTCCTATACCCTACCGTCAGGTTGTCCATTTTAGAGGGGTGCCTAAGGTCTGTGTAGAGGTCAAAAATTTGGAGCTTTAAGGCGAACGTCTATATAATATACTAGCTGTACCCTGCCACGCTTCACTGGCACATTGTAGTTGCATTGTTCATTTCTCAATGAGGATAAAAATTTATGCTGAAAATAGATAAAAACAATCCTTGAAACGATTCATGTTTTCAATGAATCAAATGAAATCAATCAAAATTTGAAATATATCATATCAAATTTTGACAGAAAATATGAATCGCACACGAACCAACTTAACATTTTTATATAAATAGATATAATGTAGTGATCTTGTTTAATCATAATAAATGTCTTACCATTTTTACGCGTATTAAAGTAACAACTACTTTTCTTTACACACATTTCTACATACAGACCAGAGTGGACCGGAATTGCAAACTATAATGTGTCTCTGCTCACGTAATAGATATTTTCCTCAGTATTCCACAGTCTCCTGAAAGCGCACGCAGTAGAGGCTCGATCGGTGGTGCGGCAAGCGTTAGAGATTCTAACGCCAGCGATGCCGCAGCGCATGGAAGACGGTAACACTATGCTCACACACTGGACTAAGAAGATCATTGTCGAGGATGGACACTCCGTGCAGCAACTCTTCCATATACTGCAGCTCGTCGTTAGACATTACAAGGTACATTTTGTTTCTTCTCTGCGTTTCCGATTAAGAGTAGCCAATGCTTCCAATTAATAATGAATAGGGAATATTATAATCTTAAGGTTTTAACGAATTTTATATAGGTACTTGATGCTTGGATACAATATGCAGGACAAAAGGAGATAGAGTTAGCAAGAGAGCCGTCTTAACCTCTTTTTCTTGCAAAAAGGGATCCCTGATTTAACAATATTAATTACTACTATATCACTTACTTTTTAATTTAATGCCTATTTTATTCTAGGTGTATTATCCAGTCCGCCACGCGCTTGTAGGACATATGGTGGCAGCTATGCAACGACTCGGTTTTTCTGCGACTGCTTCTCTCGAACATCGACGTCTCGCCGTAGATCTAGCGGAGGTAGCTCTTAAGTGGGAATTACAGAGAATACGCGACCACACGCATGATGACAGTGTGGTAAGTTTTACATTATAGTTACATACATGTGACGCCATGATTTCCGTAACAGGAAAAGGTGTGTAACAATAAGAGCCAATAATTTGCCAAATCAAATATAGGTGTAGCAATGTGAGCGCGCGGTACTAGATTGGGCCGTTAGATGGGCAGAACTACCGACGACTCGAAACGAATTTAGTTTTACAGAATTTTTACTGCAAATGGCAGATACCAGTTGACATAGTTATATAATCTGATAGAAGATGATTGACGAGTAGCTCGTACATGATTAGAATATTCAGTGTGGACATTTTACAGGTAACGACATCCCCTAGTGGTGCAATGAAACGAATATCTTCAGATGAGAGTGGCACTGAAGTTCGTAAGGCTCTTAACACAGGATGGGCAAGTCCCCAGGCTTGTGTGTCTCGTATGGAACCTGATGCTGCGAAACCGCTAGACAGGCAACATGTCGACGTTGTCGTTAATTTATTATTGCGACTGGCTTGCCAGGTAACTGTTTACGAATTTTATGGTTACTTGCGTGTTTATGTATTTAAGCTTTATACATTTTATGTAGGCTTCCGGTACGCCTATGTACTTGACTTAATAATAATGAGTTTATTTTCATAAAATGTGGTACAAAATGTGGTGGTGTTAAGTAGATTAAATATGTGGTAAGTAGATTATTAAAGTAGGGTACAAGACACATTTCGCCATTAAATACCATGCAAATATTTAGTTGAAAGGTAAACATATTAAAAAGAAAAGCAACAAAAACACAATTTGAGTTTTTAGTTGTTAATTACAGACAATGCATTTCTAAAGTGAAAAAACCTAGAAGCGATTTTTTAAGAATAATTTTATAATATTATTTTTCTATTAAAAAAAAAAGTGTCTTCTACAGATATACGGCTAAGTCAAGAGAAGTTATAAAAACTTGTATTCTTCATTCCTTAATTTTCCATGCTTCGAGGTGTGGAGTATTTTGGAATGGGACCATCACTATTTTTTTTTTATCGAAACCTATTGAAATTTTTTAATAATATAATAATAAACAACTAACAATTTAAACGATTTTTGACAACTTCACCTCCTCCTTTTGAATACGTTAAAAAGTAGGTGCTTTTCAAACTAAGTTGATGAACAGTAACTTAGAATCTGTGGCGTAAGTCAAATATGAAATTTTAAACTGTGTACCTAGTGATGTTATTTATACTCATGTAATTAAATTTGCCTTAGCTCTACTATATTTGGAAGTTTTATTCAGTCGCTTCAGTCAGTTTTTTATGACTGGTTATGGTTCAATGTGATAAATTTTGTTAAATATATCCTAACTTTATACTAGCCTATTTTATTGTTTCCAACTTATCACTCCTTGATCTCTCCATGTTTACTCGACGCTGTGAATAGCCTAATCGTTACTACTATCGGACTGCTATTATATATATGAAAAAAGACTTTCTGCAAATAGATTTTAATATTATTTAATTTATGTATTGAGCAGGTGAATGAAGGCAGCGTAGCGGGCAGTGGAACTACAGGAGCGTCGCCGGGTGAGCAACTGTCGCGTCGTTGCGTGCTCTTGCTTAAGACTGCTCTCAAACCTGACGTGTGGCCGCATCTATGCGAACCCAAACTCGCCTGGTTAGATAAAGTATGCATCTTCTACCTTTCTACTTACTTTATATACACTTAAATACATTTATAAAAGTATTGTTTTATTAACATTAGATGTCTTTTTATTTGAGTAGATTTTATAAGAATTTTAATGAAAAAAGACCATACAAAATCGTCTTAAAGTACCTGACTTTTCTTACGGAATACATTACTTTGCATAAAATAGTTGCTGACGTTATCTTACATTCTGTTTCCTCTCCCCAAATCGATCTCTTTATTCAATAAGCCGGAATAAATACTCAACTTTATGGATTTTTATAACAACGTATTTCTCCTTTTACCCAAAAATTACCACAAATGAATTATTTTTGTTTCTTAACTGTTAAATGTTTGTGGTTCAGGTATTCTCAACAGCAGAGGCCAACGCCGGTGGTTGCGCCAACGCTTGCACGGCTTTAGAACTACTCGTTTTCCTACTTGGTGTACTAAGGCGTGAACAAATACTAGTGGCTTTGAAGCCCTTGCAAAGAGGACTTGCAGCTTGTGTGTCATCGACAAACCCGAAGATCGTACGACTGACGCACAATTTGTTAGCCAAACTTACAGCTATATTCCCCACTGAACCGACAGGAGCGGCACAAGCTTCTAAGGTATGATCCTGAATTTATTTTATAGACGATCGTAATCAAACGCTCTTCTTTAATTATAGAAAGTAATTGAGTTTATTATAAGCACGTAAAGTTTCGTTACTTCGTGACAATTACATTATAATGGTGTATCGATATATTATAATCACAAATTACAATTTTACATGTATGTAGGTTTAATGATATTCAACATAAATTAAATGTTGTTTTATAATTTTTAACGAGTTCATATTTCTATATTTAAATGTTTTTGCAATACTTACCTATATTAAAAGGTACGTGTTCTGTAGAAATTACAACCTAAACCATCTATAATGATTTTCATTTTGATTACAATCTTTCTCGATCAAAAACATCTTTTTGTTATAATGAATAGTAGAATCTTTTCTCCAACCTTCCATAACTATTTAAACGACTTTTTTCTCAATAATACAGATATGTTTTGACAATTACTTATTATTATTAATTTGATCAATATTGGATTGAACATAAATTATTACAACCTATTTAATTAAATACATTGATAGAAAGCCTGAAATAAATGAAGAAAAGATAATTACTTATTTTTTTTCCCTTGAGAAAAATATGGTTTTTATCCGTTAGCTACGTGTTTAGACACACTAATCAGGACGTAACCGTGCATATTTTGACACCTGATTAACTAATCACTTAACATTAAGCGTTTAAAACTATATTTGAAATATTGTCAACTCCCGGAATAAAAGAATAATAAAAAAAATAGTATTACGGGAACGAACGAACCTATGTCCAGCAATGGACTATGAAAGACTGTAGATGTGATTACGTGTGTGTGAACGAACGCACTCATGATAGATTTAAGTACATGACTTTAAAATGCAACTCAACTCAATTCAAATTAGTCACAGGAAATTCCGTAATCCCGTAGTATGTAATTTAATATTATGGAACGCGATAGTTTAAGTTTAAATTATAAAAGTAGTAAAAAATCTAGTAAGTCATAATTTTTTTTCAGTATGAAGAACTTGAAACCTTATACGCATGTGTAAGCAAATATGCATTTGAGGGGTTAGCCGCATACGAAAAGTCTGCTGGTGGACAGACGGCCGGTGCGGCAACAACAGCTGCAGGTCATTTCTTATTTTAGATATACTTCCAGAAATGGATATTTTTTTTATTTACTACCAGTAGTAACTCCATACGTTCTGGATCCTCTTCAACTTAACTGTTAATCGTTTCGTCAAATGTACGCACGCTATACGGCAGTCGTCATTGACATCCCTATTATCATTATCACAAGTCGTTCTGAAGATATAATTTACTCAAATTACCGTTTTAACTTATAAACAACGAATCGCTGGTTTTATTGTTTGTAAGCAGAAACGCTACACATATCTCCGAATGAATAAAAACAAAAGAAGTATTGTAGAGCACAATTAAAGTAGTGATGAAAGTCAGTCAGTATTAATACAACTAGCTAACTGTGAGCAGGCGCGGCAGGGCCGAGCGCGGCGGGCGGCGCGACGGGCGGAGGCGCGAGCGCGCTGCTGGGGCCGCTCATGATGCTGAAGGCGTGCTGCGCGTCGTCGCCCGCCTACATCGACCGCCTGCTGCAGCCGCTCATGCGCGTGCTGCAGCGCATGGCGCGGGACCACGTCGCGCCCAGCCCGGACCATGCCCTGGCCGATCTACTCGTTAGTATTATCTTTCTACTCGATATAGATGTGTATTCCTCGATTAGGGTGCGAGGAATACTCATCTAAATATCTGGACCTTGAAATAAACCCTCCTTCCAGCATAAATTATTATGAACTCTTTACAGATTTTAGCTCTTGATTTACTAAAAGCCCGCGTGTGTGTGATGCAAGTGCAAGACACCAGAAAAACATTCATTGGAGCCGTTTTGGTCGGTCTGATCGAAAAGACGACGGATGCCAAGGTAAGTGTCTGATATTTTCTTGTTATGACGAGAGCATATCCAGTTTATTTTCCTACACTATATAGTTACTTATTTGATTACAAAAATGTATACAAACTGACGGACATGTTTACAAAGTTTTAAACCTAATCATACTTAAAATTGACGAAATACTGGAAAAACTATGTTATGTACTTTACTATCGCTATAATTAACTACAAAATTATGGCAAAATGGTTGTTCACATTATAATGCAACTTTTTTTCACCTATACATCCTTTTGAGGGTAACTGTAATAGTTTAAAAGTCGAATCTATTTATTTATTTAAGCTTCACCAGAAAGCATTGACAATTTAAAGCATCACATTTTGAGCTCCATAATTTGGTCAAACTTACTATAACTAATCTAACTAAGAACGTTGGCACCTAAAGATGCGAAAATTATGAGAGTATTGAAAGGGGAAGTTAGGTAAAAAGAAACTGCAAGGGAAGAAAAATTATGTTACTTATATGGGAGAATTGGACAGAGCATTGCGCTGGTCACGATCGTATACGTGTATCTCAAACTTAGCCAAAACACCTTTACTGTAATGTATAAGTTAATACATGCATAGAAATTTAACTCGTGTGTCGTGTAAAATCTAAATCAGACAGATGCAACTGTCACTGTGAGATATGTCAAACTATTATTATTATAAAATAGTGATATAATCCTTATACATAAGACATATTTTCTTCACTATGTACATTGTGGACAACTAACAACGAAGTATATAGTAGACAGTAGAAATATTTTAGTATTTCCATTTATTTTTTAGTTTTTAGTATCTTACAGTTTTTAATTATATAGTACAGCTAAAAATACATAATAATAAAACAACATATCGTTTCTAATTGGGTATAATTATTTTGTATTAAACCCGCATGGAATTTAACTAAATGACCACTCAATTAGGTGATGAAAGCCATAATCCGTATGGTAGAAGAATGGGTGAAATGTCGCGGTACCACACCAGCTGCTGCTAATGTGCCGGGGACGAGTTCCGCTGTCGCCAACACGAACGCAGGCTCTGCACCCTCCTTTAGAGAGAAATCTATTCTATTGGTTAAACTGATGCACTACGTCGAGAAACGGTTTCCAGATGACTTGGAACTGAATGCATCATTCTTAGAACTCATCAACTATGTTTATAGGTAAGACATTTTGTTATCCTAATGTAAAAATGTAATCGAATAGTACAGTAATAGTTAATAATATAACTGTTCCAAAAAAACTTAAGCATTATCAATTCATCTCACTAATGTGCTAAACTCAGGATTGTAAAATCTCTTGCCTTTCTTTCTTTGGGGTAGGCGTTGTCATCTTGTTTTATCATTCATATCATTTCTTACATATATTATTCCTCATAATCGATAACATAATCCTCAGAACTATGTAATCAGATCAGAACTGTATGTTCTGCGAAGTGTACCCACATAGTATACATGTATATTTGTCTTTATATACTTGTTTTGTCATTATTTCCACATTCATTTCGATTTTATTTTTCTACATTTCACAGGCAATTTTGACAAATGATAAAAAATAAGCATTAGCTGCAATTGCCTCCAATTGGTAATTTATCGATTATTTTTAAATAAACTATGAAGTTGAATCTTTCTGAGGGTAGATTGTTGATGTTATTATTTTTTCCCATACTTCCTACAGCATTTATGATACCTTATTCTAAGAAGAAAGTTTTGTAAGAAATACATATGTCACTTATAACGAATACTACAAGTATTAGACGTAGTGAAGCCAATAGATGGTAGAGTATTAATTATGTTTTTTTCACATAATTTTTTTTCAGGGATGACCAGCTAAAGAATACCGAACTAGCATCTAAACTAGAGCCAGCATTCCTGGCGGGTCTGCGGTGCCCACAGCCGCACATTCGCGCTAAGTTCTTTGAGGTGTATGACGCTAGCGTACGCAAACGTATCTTTGATCGTTTACTATACATCATATGTTCTCAGAACTGGGAAAATATTGGGCAGCATTTCTGGATTAAGCAATGCCTCGAGTTATTGCTAGTAACTTGTGTACCAAGTAAGTGAATTTTTAAAATACAATTACAGTCACGAAATTAAATATGACTATTGCATTAGGACTAGTTTACGGTGTCTCTAAGAAACCACTCTTATATTGGTGACTATAATATACAATTTAATTTGACTAAATGCCGTCCCAATGTAGTTTACGCAGCTAATTGATTACCAATAATTTATAATATTTTACTTTTAGTACTTACACATCTGTAAATTGAAATAAAAGTAGCGTCTACCGCTTTACTTCTAAATATTTTTTTTTAATATTTACTAGGTACTCAAGTCAGATTATCAAATTCTAAGTACCTGCTACCGAGCATATCGTCAGTAATAAGTACTGGCGATAGTGAAGACCGCAAATCATTTGTAATATTCAGCAGTGTAAAAGAAGAATCCTCAGATGGTTACAGTGATTCGTTGGACCCGGATAAAGAAGATGTACTTGATATGGACCTCGATTCTAGTTCTACCCCTAAAGAAGAGTGTGTTACTAAAACAGTAACAAACAGGTTGGTATTTGCTTACAGATATGTAATTTTTCCACCCCTCGAGTATTTATTTTGGGGATGAACCCTAAGTGCTTTATTGTATTTTTGGCAACATCTACCTGTTCATATTTTATGGTGTTTCAAAGAACATTACAGCAATACATAAAATATTGAAATATATTATTGAAAAGTTAATACATTGAATATAGCAGAAACTTCTATGGAAATAACAGCAGTTATTGGGTAGAATTGGAGGCGTCTAATTTTGACACTATGTCCATGTTCACCATGGAGCTAATGAGGTTACGATGTGATTCATGGATCTAAAATGAGAATTTCTGGTTTTGTATTGTCTTATATTCTAAACAAGTACATTAAACAATGTGATTATTATTGACGTTAGAACATGTGTGTTTAGTTAAATAATAGACTAGCTGTGAATGATGTTACAGACTTCGCACCTTGAACCAAATAGTGGCAAAACAGTCAGAGTTCCTCGAGTTAGCTCGTCGAGTCCGAACTGAACAATTTGTTGTTGCTGCTGCACAGCTATGTCACATGGACGAAGCACTCGCGCACCATACTTGGCTACAGCTCTTCCCGAGATTATGGTCCATATTAGACGAACGTCAGTTAGGAGTAAGTATCAAGATGTTATACATCCATATTCGAAAATTCGACTGTTTTATGAAATTGGCTTTCGAGTTATTCGGATACTATTGACTGTTAAGAATAAACTGGCCATCGTGGTATAGTAGGCCAAAACTTAGTTTCTAAGGAGAGGCCTATGTCCAGCAGTGGACTGTTAATGATGATGAAGCACTACTTTTCACGTACATAATAAATGCGAAAGTGTGTCTGTCTGTTAGCTCTTCACGCTTAAACCGCTAAACCGATTTAAATGAAATTTGGTATAGAGATAGGCGGTGGTGGTTACTTAAAATCGGGGCCTCAATTCTGCTATTTTAATATTTAATTTGCACTTTTGTATTCTACTAACTATGTAAGACCAATGGTCTCCCGGTTACTTGTCACTGAACTGCCACTATTACAAATGTCGTTGATGTATTTGTAATTGTTCGGTAAACTGTACATTTTAAATTTGTACATATAAATATATACATAAAAAAAATGTTATATTTAATTTTCCAGATATACAAATGTTAAAATCACCATTGATAAGCCATTGCCACTACATCGAAAGTCTATTGACACTGTGAAAATATGTTAGTAGAATACTGATATTTTGACTGATATTAATGGTATATCAATAGGGTGTCAACTGAATGACAGTGGGTTCTACGTTAACATAAAATATCAAAATTGAGGCCCTGGGACCCATCTGCACGTTTGCCCTCCTATGCCTTAAAATAAAACAAGTCCATTAATATATAAATCAACTTTTGCCTGCAGACTGTAATGAGTGAGATGGTTCCCTTCGTAATATCAGGCGTGCACGTAATACAACGTGACCAACCACTCAGCGCGTTACACACATTTATAGAAGCGCTAGCGCGGTGCAACCCACCCGTCATCATGAGACCGTAAGTATTATTACTCATTTATTTACGGATCGAAGAACAATAAAAAACAAAACAACAAGAAATTCTATATTGCATCCTTTAAATTATTTATTGAATTCCGAACTCGATGTTAAGTAAGTTGTAATTCTTATGATTCTAGTCTACCTGATTGTCTAAAATGTTTAAAGTCCACATTAGTAATGACAATTTCATGTAACAATAAATAAATATCAACGAAATTGATTTTCCTTATTTATAAGGATATCACAATTTGATGCAGGATATATGGCATTTCCATTCATGTTTCCATAATATTATAGTAATAATCTAGCGAACCGTCCCGGCTTCGCACTGGTGCAATGTAGATACTACTAATGTGGGGTTAATGTGGATTCAGTAATTATACTATTATTATGATATGAGTATACTACAGGACATCTTTCAATGCAATATTTATAGGCCCGCTTCGATCCTTAAGGCCGCTGCCACCCGGGACGGACGTACGGCTCGGCGGCCGTTGGACCCCCACTTTTTTAACCTCTAATATCTTCTAAAATGTTCACTTTAATGATATGCTCTAAAGAACAATTATAATCTGCAATAAATGCACAACGTATCTAACATATTTAATAGGATAAGGAACAATAATGTATTGTTTAAACTGCTTTGGTGACAATGTGGCCTAAATATCTGAACTTCTCAACAACTTTTAGCACTACGCCATTGGGATATACCGGAGATACACGGCGTGACTGTTGTTTTTGCGTTTTGAATATTAAAATCTCGCTCTTTTTAGAGTTGTATTTAAGGCCGTGCATCTCCGCATACGTCTCGCAGATCGATATCCTTAGGAGATAGATATATCATCGCGGACTTTTTTGTAGATCTTTTTAAGATATACAATTCTGTAGTACATTTATTTGGTCTATTTCTTAAGGTTTAGGCAGCGTTTGCAATGTCAGCGCACAAACACATGTTTTTTAAAACTTACAACAAAAAAGCGACTGTATTTTATAATAATTAAAGATTGTGAATAAAGTGGAACTAATTACATTTACGAATTACTTTATGAACAACTTACATGCTGTTCATATATTGCGGACATAAATTTCGAAAGTTTAAAAAAAATACTACTTTCTTGGGCAAAAATAATATACTATTTTTTGCACACTCACTATTTATTGTATTTTACATTTTGTAGGTTAAGAAAATAATAGTCTTTAGACAATTATTAATTAATTCTTCCAAGAAAACTATGTATGCTTCAGTATTTCATCACTATAGGCAGACAGTCTGAATTTATACTAAAATACTCCATACAATTTTGTAGACCAATGATGAGATATCTGGGAAAGTCACACAACCTATGGCATCGTATGACTCTGAATTTGGAGCAAATGGCCATTGACCAGGCCAGTGGACGCGCTCAACGGGAACCAGTTGAGATATACGACTACGAAATCGAAACCACCACACCTACAGTAAGTATACTTCATTTAAGCAAATACTTTCATTTAACAACATTTAAGAGGAAATACAATGTCAAGGTTGTTTTTAAAATACGTTTGTAAATGTTGTATTTAATTTAAAATCTTGTAGGAGGTGCAAGACTGTCTAAGCGATATGTACGAACTTTTGCAAGAGGAAGACATGTGGTCTGGTCTGTGGCAGAAGCACGCCCGGTACCGCGAGACTACAGTTGCTATCGCTTATGAACAACAAGGCTTCTTCGAACAGGCGCAAGTAAGTGTGCATTAAAATATATCAATTCTAACTTACCAACAGACTCTTTAATGTCCAAACAAAGAAGTAAAGATAAGCTACTCATCCAGGGGGCAGGTATTTGTCTACCAGAATATCTATCATAATATCCCAATGAAATTTTATACACACAATAAATTTATTGTTCCATTTTAGGCTGCGTACGATGTCGCTATGACTAAACTTAAACAAGAGTACAACACAAACCCTAATTCTTATACGACGATGCATAAAGAATGTAATTTGTGGTCACAACATTGGTTGAAGTGCGCGAAAGAACTGAACCAGTGGGATTCTCTACTCGAACTCGGTCTTTCACGAAGTGGAAAGGATCCCTTCCTTATATTAGAAAGTTCATGGAGGAACCCCAATTGGGCTACAATGAAGGAAGCACTCGCCGAAGTGGAGTACAACTGTCCAAAGGAATTAGGTATGTAAATGCTCATAACCGAGTTCTGCACGAATATAGCGAATTATTTCAGGTTTAAGATCGTTTATTTCTCACAAAGAATAACATAAACTATTCACTTACATGAGAAAATCAAATTACAGTTTCATCGATTTAGCTGTGATACAGAAGAAAGCAATTCATACAAAATATCAACAAATGATTTCCTACACAAATATAGTGATACAGAAAAAAGCAATTCAAATAAAATAATTTCTTACACAAATATAGTGAGGGTAACTTAAAAATATTATACATTCCAAACATTTGTTCATCCACGCTTGCAGTAAATACAGCGATCGAGCGTGCCTAGAAGTGACAAAACTTTTTGTACACACTACAATTTACTTTTACATAATTATATATATACATTATACACTTTTACATATTATATTTCCCATATAAAAACGTCGATAGGGCTTTAGAGAAACTAAATCGACGTATTCAATATAATATTATTAGTTATCGCTAAAAATAGCAATCGGATTTTAGTTATTGCACAATATTCTAATTAAAGCAAAGTAATAAATGAAATGAAAGCTAATTTCGATACGAGGCAAAAGTAAGTGTTGAACGGTTGAACTGTTCGGGCGGCAGCGTGGCTCGTGAACTTGTACCGCGGCTACCTATGCATCTGCGCCGGCGGCGAGCAGCAGCTGAGCGGCGTAGAGAGGCACGCCGAGGCGGCGGCGGCGCAGGCGCTGCGCGAATGGCGCCGCCTGCCGCGTCTCGTGTCCCACGCGCACCTGCCGCTGCTGCGGGCCGCGCAGCAGCTTATGGAATTGAGCGAGGCTGCACAGATACACACCGTGAGTTCTCTTTCTCTCTCCACCACAGGACCGCTTATATGTGCCTACCGAGTACTCGCATTGTGTCGGAAAGAGTACTACGACTATTCGTTTCGGTTTCAAAATCACTGTCTGCAAACCCTCGAGAAGCATCCGAATGTCAATTCTCGTTCAAAATTCAGTTTCGTTCTATCCTCGATCTCACAAAGTCATAAATGTATTCGCGTAGTAAAGTATTAAACTACCAACGTTGCCTGTAATGAGATCATATCGTACTGTGACCGAAAGTTGAATCGGTTTTCTACTAGTCGTAGTAGTACTTTTCTGCGAGAAAGCCTTTTATGACATTAGTGAGATCGAAAATAGATCAGAAGTAATTTTTAACAAAAAAAGAAAACAAGAATTAACCTTCAGGATTGATCGAGCAATGAGTCGCGCACTATACCTTGCTTTTTACCTAGTGGCATAGTTGACGGGTCTTGTCTGAGTGGTATGTATTAAAATATTAATAAATTTCATAAAAGGTAGGAAATCCCTTCTTTGTTTTGAGAATGCATAATTACTGACTTTTTTGAGGTGTTTGATGTCCTGAAGGCCAATTCTCGTAATAAAAGTTCGGTCTCAATTCAGTTCCGATCAAGTTTCGATCTCACAACTGTCATAAAAGCTATTTTCGTAGTAAAATAGTAAATTATTACTAAGACTAGCAGATTACCGGTTACAATACTGTTAGCGGGGTATATAATAAATAAAAGTTGTTGGTTAATTACTTTATTGCACTGTATTTAAAACACTCACTATAACAAACAAGAAATCACTATATAACTCCTTAATCGCACTAGAAATTCACTTCGATGTTAATTCGCTGTGTCGTAAAAGGATACTGGGTCGAACGGCCAACACGCTCCGCTTTTATATAGTGCTATCGAATTTACTATAATGATCCCTAGTATTCGATAGTCCATTCCAGACACATAAGAATATTCCATTATTAGTTACGCGTTACTTGCAGCGCCATCTAGCGCTGTAAATATCAGAATTATTAATCTCAATAGTTCTACTTTACGTGATACTAGATGGCGCTGTCATCCACATTTCATACAATTTTGTAACAATGGAACTATGAATCCTATGGCGCATCAATATCAATACGACATTACAGTCAACGTTGGATGTTTAATACTTTACTACCTTTTGTGACAGTTGTGAGATTGAAAATTGATCGGAACTGAATTGAGACCGAACTTTTATTACGAGATTTGGCCCTGTGATTCCTGGCACAAAAAAATAATTGATATTGAATTATTCATTGATATTGTGATATTAATACTTACAAATATATGACCTTTTATTATATTACATATAAACAGATTTCGGAATCATTAAGATTTCTTGATAGTTATATGAAATCTTTATAAGATTTTTTCAACGTATAGACGTCTTAAGTTGTTTTAGGACGATCTTAGAACGCCTATGGTTAATATTTTTTTTGCTTTGTTCGATGTTATATCTAATATTTATGTATATTTGTAACTAACGACAAGGATAATTCCTTTTACCAGCAGCCACAAACGGCCACCAATACTGTAAGTACAAAATATTAAAGAATGCAATTTTGGTTTGAATAAAGCACTTCTTTAAATTTATTGTATTATAACACGGGTTCGTCATTACATTAAGTTATTTTGTTTCTCATACAAGACTTGCTTACGCAACTTTTTACTTTTAAATACGCATTTAGATATCTATATTAACTATGAGAATTCACAACAGTTCGTAGTAGGTGAGCTATTTATAGTTAAAGCAGCAATTATTGATTGTTATCGTCATAGGGTCTCCTGCACAGCCGCCCAACATCTCTTCACGATATGAAGGCCATAGTGAAGACATGGCGCAATCGCCTGCCTGTAGTAGCTGACCCGTTGTCGCATTGGGGCGCGATCTTTACGTGGAGGCAACATCACTACCAGTTCATCGCGTCTCATTACGACTCACAGACAGAACACGGTACCAATCACAGTATGCTCGGAGTTCATGCAAGTGCTCAGGTAACAAATCTATCTATTCTGGTTTAAATCGAATTGTAAGATTCATTTAAGTATATAAAAGATCTTTTTGTTTTAATGACAAATACTAATTATCTGCATTAATTGTTAAACATAATATATATCATTTCTTTCGTATATCAATAATTTATAAGCGAAAAAGTATTCGCTTGATAGTTTATGTGCTGAAACGAGCTTTTCTATAAAACTATCAGTTAGAATGCTTTTTTTATGAAAGAGCATTCATAGAAAAAGTTTATAGGCAAACATGTTGCAAACTAGTAGCATCCATTGCTATGCCCATGATAGCATACCATAGCATACCGGCCGCCCCAATTTTTCTCGGGAAAACACCATCGAGAGTCGCAACAAACTTGTGTCTGAAATTTAAACTATCTTAGCGGAGGTTTCAGATTGGGGCCGACTAAATCTAGTCCAGTTCAACCCAAAAAAGACACAGGTCTGTGCGTTCACCGCAAAAAGATACCATTTGTCGTATCACCTCAGTTTGAGATCACCTCCCTAACTGCCTCAGCCAGCATCGGAATCCTAGGCATCGAGCGAAGTCCAGTTTCGGGGTCACTTACGGGGTAAGGTCAAATTGGCTCGAAGAAGCTGGGTGTGCTGAACAGATCGAGGCAGTATTTCACTCCGGCCCACCACCTTCAGCTCTATAAGGCCCAAGTCCGGCCGCATATGGAATACTGTTCTCATCTCTATGCAGGGGCACCTCAGTACCAGCTTCTCGGCTCGATCCTTTGGCGTTACGTAGAAGTGTGGCTTCACTAATACCAGCCGCAACTTTCCGCCATCGTTCCACGCGGCAAAATTTTCATCCTCATTACCTGGATAGTTGGCGCTCAACTACTGTGCGCTTTTCGAGACACTTTTTGCCCTGCAACCAATCTGTAGAACGGGTTATCGTCTGCGGTATTTCCGGACCGATACGACCTTCAAGAAAAGAGCGTACTCCTTCCTAAAAGGCCGGCAACGCGTTTGTGACTCCTGAATTGCAGACGTTCATGGGCGGCGTTGTTCACTTTCCATCAGGTGACCCAGGTCTGCTCGTCTGCCCCCTCTAACATAAGAAGAAAAAAAAAGGCTGTAATAAGTGGAGCCATGACGTTCGACGTGAAAAATACATAATGCTTCCTTTTAGATATAAGTGAATTTCATGTGACTACTTCACAATTAAGATTCATCGTAAATATTGTTTAAATTTAAATATGTACAATTTTTTTATATTACAGGCAATAATTCACTTTGCTAAAATCGCAAGAAAACATAACCTGTCCGGCGTGTGCCTAGACTCTCTACACCGTATATACACAATACCTAGTGTTCCAATCGTAGATTGTTTCCAAAAGATAAGGCAACAAGTGAAGTGTCACATTCAAATGTCCTGGACTGAGGGCAAAGATGAGTTACAAGAGGGCTTAGATATGATTGAGTCAACAAACTTCAAGTACTTTACTAAAGAAATGACGGCAGAATTCTACGCATTCAAAGGATTGCTACTTGCTCAACTTGGAAGGTCTGATGACGCCAACAAAGCATTTGCGGCCGCAGTTCAGCTTCATGATACTCTAGTTAAAGCGTGGGCGCTCTGGGGTGATTATCTTGAACAGATATTCATAAGAGACCCTAAACAAACTCAAGTAGGAGTATCCGCTATGACCTGTTTCTTACATGCTTGCCGTCATCAGAACGAGTCCAAATCGCGAAAATACTGTGCTAAGGTAAACAACTAAAATAATATCATTTTTACTGTTGTATATAAATAGCAATGAGAACTACTGCTTTGATGAATTTCGAATAAATCAAGTTATTTGTCAGAGAACGTACAACCTGTTTGATCTGTATTTAGACATTACTTTGATACTGTTATAATAAAGCTACATTCAATTGTTCTTTTACTTTTACCAGCAAATTATGTTACATTGAATTCTTAATCTGCAGGTACTTTGGATGTTAAGTTTTGACGACGAAAAGAACAGCCTAGCTGAAGCCTTAGATAAGTATTCAGTGGGCGTTCCGCCTGTTCAGTGGTTACCGTGGATACCACAGCTCCTCGCTTGTCTCGTCCAGTACGATGGAACTGTTATATTAAATCTTCTAAGTCATGTAAGCTATTGCCTTTTTTATATTTAATTTGTCATTGTTCATTATACATACAACTCAAATGACTAGATGTTGTTCTAATCATCTTCCTCTGTAAAACCTCCCTTTTTATCTTGCCTAGGTAATTTCATCACTATCGTTCAAATATATAACAAACGCCTTTAACCATAACGCAATTTTTTATTTACATTTAGGTTGGACGATTATATCCGCAAGCTGTATACTTCCCTATTCGTACTCTATACCTGACTTTGAAGATTGAACAACGTGAAAGACACAAGACGGCTGAGAACATCGCCGCGCATCTACCACATCAACCTACCACCTCAGCTGTAAGTTTTTTATGAATGTGATTATATGAGAAAATTGAAATCTTAGTTTTTAAATTTTAGAAGACGCAGTTATCCATATAATCCGGTAAGTAAACTCATTTTAATATGAATCATCCAAGAATTACATAAGCGGCGCGTAAAAAATATGTCTGAATATTTTTGTGATGTATAATTTGAATGTGATCAGTCTCTTAGCGCGTTGCACACACTTAAATACAGTGAAGTATCACTAAGTATAAAGTTACTGATACGCACTTAATTTCATACAATTTTCTCTATTTAATTTCGGAGACGAAAACCTAGGATGTAAATAGAAAAGAAACGTAAAATCCTGCCCTCGGTGATGGTAAAATATATTATTACATGAAAAATATAGTTGCTTCATAGGATTGAGTGGTTTTTGTGTTGTGTCTGGAGGACAGCGCCATCTAGTATCAAGTAGGGCACAACGCTACGCATTGATATTATGGTTCTTAATGGGGTACTTTCGGTAGTAAAAAAAAAATTATGAAATTAGATAAACTTAATGTTTATCTAATTTCATTTTTTTTTTTAATGTAGAAATATGCCTAAATATTCTGATTTTGAGTCATAAAATCACATTATTCTTTTATTATATTAAAATTCATAATTTTTAATCTGTATATCACGTGACCTTTAACACGAGCCGCCATGTTGTGACGTCATATAAGCAAAAACTGTCAGTTCAGTGTAAACAGCTAGGTACATATCTATCAACTTTAACTTCAAGAAGTAATAATTGTGTTCTTTCGTCAGTGCATTTTATTTTTTACCTATTTATTTATTAAGGGAGAAGCCTGCTTAAAAGGCTTCAAAAAAATATGTTTTTTTTTCCTTTTGCATAAATGTCTTCCCAAAATATCCAAGAATGTGGCCCTAAAATTTCGGAAGCAAATTCAAATTATTTTCGGAGTTACAGAAGAAATAGTGAGCAAGCGTCGAGCAGGTATACGACCGGCCGGATCGCTTGGAGTGCGAGCGACCGACGACCAAAAACGAGTGCGTGGGACCAGGGGCGTGCGCTCCTTGTAGGCAGAAATGCAGTGCTTTACTTGCTATTCACAGACATTTTAATAAAACGTTCGCACGTTTTAAATGACTTTAATTAATAGTAAATAAATGAATAAACAAAATATAATAACTTAAAAACGCCTACTATTTTATAAATAGCACCTATTTGTCATTTGAAAGCACACAAACATTATGTTTGCCAGGCGTTTACCAACAAGCAAGCGGCGCTGTACCTACCAACCAACTCATGCCGAAACATGCCGCAGGAAATTTGTTCGCATGTGTGCAGTAATTTTGGTGTCCGTGCACAGTTCGCAAACACACCCACCCATATATTTTATTTCCCCGGCTCCAGCCGCAGGCTACTAAAGTTCGGCAAATGTCGGGAGTAATCGGAAATGTTCGTTGCCTATAAATCGACTAAACACAATAGACAGAAATATAATAAATCATGTGTGCGGATTATGAATTTTGAATATGGTAGGGTTTTATTTGTTTAATTAGCAGATATTTTTTGTGTTTCGCGGGGGCCATATTGCTTTTTTCATGTGATAAGCAGTGTTTACTATTTTCTTTCCGCCAGTATAATTATAGTTTTATTTTTTATTTTAACATTTGAAAGTGTGTACATTTAACAGTTTATTACTGAGTTCCGTTGATTTTTTTAAAATGTTATTTGATTGTGAGGTATGTGTGGAAAATGTGTGTGACCAGGTGAGTATTTATAATATAATATTTTAGCTTATTATTTTACTTATTAGAATTTCTTCCGCCGCGACGATCTATCGCTGTTTTGTCTGCGTTCCGTTGAAGATGTACATGAATAGTAGTACATCTAAGACTTGTTCTGTTGCCATGGTTTCCGACTCCGAGAGAGAGATCCGTCGCGTGGCTTTGGCTATGCTAAAAATCTATAAAAGAAAAAGTTTTTGTGATCGACTACTCAGCCGCATACCTAGTGTCATAATCCTGTGCACGCCGCTGCGTGGACATGTACAAAAGCGCATGAGTACTCGTCTCCGCAACAAGAGAAAACAAGAGAAGCTCGGTGGAAAGAAGCGGCTCACCGAGGCTTTGATAAAAAAATTAACAATTTATTACGGTCTGGCGATTCGAAGAAACTTGAATTCTGTAGAAGATATGAGAAATGCAATTATGGCGACACTTCATTATTGCTCTACAGATGAATTACCTCGCCACGACAAATGCCCGAAAGGCGTCGAAAGCTGGTGTGAGTGGCGCAAAGCTGAAACGACAAACACCCTGGCTGCTTTTAAACATCCACCACGTTTAATTGACGAACATGTCGAGAAGCACATTCGTCCTGTGTAGGAGGAATCATCTAAGGACGATCTGCTAACGAGGTTTTTAGGTGGACACACACAAAATGCGAACGAGTCGTTCAATTCCACTGTGTGGCGCATCGCACCTAAACACCTTAAAACCCCGGCAATAAAATCGTCGAGATTGCTTCTTACATCGCTGGAGGAATGTTCAATGAAGGCTAGTGCAGTATTGAGAACCATGCATTCACTAGATTTGAAATTTGGACAGCAATGCAACAATTTCACCAAGGGAGCCGACAAGGAGCGCGTCACCCGACAAAACAGGCGCGATTCATTTTCAAGTAAAGAGGCCAGAACAGCCCGCAGACTGAAAAAACTGATTTTCGCCCTGATGTTCGCATCAGGGCGAAAATCAGTTTTTTGAAGAGTCTGAAGGGCAACTCTATGAACCAGGAATCGCTGATTAGTATATTATTAAGTAAGTTCAAGAAAATTACGATTTTTTATATACGAAAACTTCGCGCGATTTCGTGGTTTTTAATTTTTACGATTCTTCCTAATTGGCGGGAAAAAAATTTAACGTCCTACCGAAACGAAACAAAATTGATTGTATTCGGGATTAAATTCTCTTCTAGTTGAACCTAAAAAACCTTAAGAAAGTTATGATTAACCCACTTTTTAAACAATTTGAAGTGAATTTTTTTTAAAAAAAAAAGTTTTTTTTTTAATTTGCGAAAAAATTGTTGAATTTCTCAGTTTTTTGTTGAATTTTCAAAAAAAAATTAAATTTGTTTTGAGTGTTTTGTTTCAGATGGAAATTGCGACCTGCATCTTGCCCGCCGCACGACACATGCACGCTCGAGGCGCCTCGGCGAATTGCTTGTACCAGGCATAATATGACATATATTTTAATGAAAAAATTGAGAAGACTATTGATATATATAACAATAAAACCTGAAACATTCGCTTTAATCGAATAGTTCTTTCCTTCCCAAAAAAATCCTCGATTTTTTGAAGCCTCTAAAGCAGGCTTCCCCCTAAAAATGCAAATCGGTTTTGTAAAAGCAGATAGTACGAATCTGATAAAATTGATCCATGATGGTTGCAAATTCCTTTGCATGTAACCTAGACTTCTGTTCTGCCGAATACCGGAATGTTAAATTATCTTTGTAAGTATGACTTGTTATATTATACTGTTTTTCTATGTAAGTGCCAGGTATACCTAATTAGTAAATAAAATTGTATTATTATTATATTTAGGGGGTTTTACTTACATTGAAATGATCCTCACATAAATACAATGGATTTTTAGTTGATAATGACAGGATCTCGTTTTGTGAGTTCCAACCAAACATTCCTCATTTCAATATCATGTCACATTGATAAACAACTTTTCTGGAGTTTTAATGCTAGTATTGTAAAACTAGACACTACACACCACATATAGCTATTGTAATTCATTATTTTCCCAAAAAACACCAAATATTTATAGCTGTTAACGTTGAATGAGTGCCGGTCGTAAATACACGACTGTTGTTTTTACCAATATGACGCCACTAAAATGGCTGACAGCGTTTTCGCAGGAATAAAAAAAAATAATTTTTATTTTATAGCAAGAAAACGTGTTTATTTTGCCGATTTTTTTTTGTGTCTTTTTTACGAAAATCAACATTTAAGTACTTTATCAAACATAGTAGAATACCCTATACCGATACTTGCTAGCAGTGCTATCTAGTGTCGAATATCGGAAGATTATAGAAATTTCTACATGCCTTATTGTACGTAGTTCTGTCTGGAACATTCCATTCTATATTCGAGATTAGTCTAGTAAATTCGATGGCATAACTAAGACTTAAGTGTTTGTGAATACAGTGCAATAAAAGTAATTATCCGAGAACTTTTATTTATTATATACCCCGCTCGTAACAATATCAATAATTTATGAAAAATGTAAATATTTATTAATAGTTGTATATATTTATTTACGAATACGTAGGGTGGCAGTAAAGGAAGTGAAAGCGCTTCGTCATCGAGCAGCGGGACAGCGGCCGTCGAGGCGGGTCCCATCAAGGCCACGCTGCCCATGTGGCGTTGCTCCAAGATCATGCAGCTGCAGCGGGAGATACACCCCACCGTGCTCTCCTCGCTGGAGGGCATCGTTGATCAGGTCAGTCTGCTGGCTGTGTAAGCGTTCCACCTAGTATACACTATTAAAGTATTGAGGTGGTTGCTTCGTTTTTATTGAGTTAAAAATAACAGAAAAATATACCACACGGTCAAAATGAATAAACTGGCCTCAGATTAAAATTTCTCATTCAAAAATCTTTCTAATATATTTTAATTTGCCGAACATGGGTTGTTATTTCAAGTTCGTGTCATTAATGCGAATGAGTGTTTCTTTGATGAATTTCGCACCTTAACTACTCATCATCATGAAATTTATGCAAAGCTTTGTCAATTTTCACTTTATAAAAGAGGAGTTTTTCAATTCGAATGTATTTTTTTTTGTTCCCTTTAGAACCCCGTCATTTATAGATTGATGTGGAAATTATTTTTTGTTTGGAATAGTACTCTTCTTTATCCCATTCGGATTTGAAGAAAACTACCACTCCTAAAGATAAGAAATAGGGGAAGAATTTTCACTCGAATTTATTTATAATTTAATAATGTATTAATGAGAGGATATGCATATAAATAAATACATTTATATGAATAGAATTGACTGGCTTCAAAAGGAGTAGATTCTCCATTCCGTTCTAAATATTTAAATGTTTGTTTTTAGGATCAACTATTTTTTAAGTATTGGTTTTACTGATTGATTAAACAAATCTAGTGAATTAGATGGCACATGAATAACAATGAAGGCTTTTAGTAATGAGGGGTGCGATATACTTTGACTAGATGGTATGGTTCCGCGAGAACTGGTACGAGGAGGTGCTGCGGCAGCTGCGCGCGGGGTTGTGCAAGTGCTATGTGGTGGCGTTCCACCACCGCGCCGCAGTCGCCGAAGCTACCGTCACGCCACACACGCTCAACTTTATCAAGAAGGTCGTCTCTACTTTCGGCATCGGTATTGGTATAAGTGAGTATATACTCTGCCTATTGCTCCTTTTACGAACTTGTTCCTTTACACTGTACATGTTTGATCTTCTCCAAAAAGGAATCTTATTCTTAATTAAAAAATATATACACGATGTAAGGGATGTCGTAACGAATACTGAAATAGTGTATTCAGACCATCGTTCGGGGTCGAAAATCATTGGAATTTTTTTGGCGAAAATTAAACTTTTTATGCAATCATCTGTCAAAGTTCATTCCCCGTTCAGTTATTACTTTTGTGTGATACCACAAAAGTAATAACTACATGTGTATTCCGTGCAAACAGTCTACGCACACTAACACAAAATGGCGGCCGGAGTTGAGGCCCCGCGCGCTTCGGCTGTTTAATTAATTACATTGCTGTTTTTTGGTATTTATGTATTAAACTGTTTTCGGCTCATTGTGATATCATTTTTAACCAGAAAAATGGAAAATTAAAAAAAAAAATCGACTTAGAATCATGGTCTGAAAACACTATTTCAATATTCGTTACGATGTCCCTTACACCTTGTATATATAAAACGGTTATTAATTTTTATTTAGATTTTTATGTAAGATTTTAATATTTTTAAAACAATTGATATATTCAATACATAAATTCAATGCATTAATCAAATTAATGTAGGGAAGTACCTATTATAGAAATATACATGGACAACAATCATTTAATATTATATGTGTTTAAATATAACTAATTATATGTAATAATGCGTCTAAATATTTATATACGAAGTAAACAAAATATTATTATTGACCTATTAAGAAGTAAGAGTAGTTTTTTTTTAATTGTAAACAAAAGGCAAGAGCTGCTCTTCTTAGGGTTCCTAAAAAAGGTCGTCCTTAGTCAAGTGTTTAAACTATTTCAAGGCCTTAATAAAGCTTAGAGCCTATTATAGGTATATGGATAACATCAGTCTTCATACATTTTACACACTATACTAAAACACAATAACAATGACAATTTATTTCAGAGACATAATATTGGCACAGTATACCTGTGCGTTTAATTTAAACACGATTCTTCCAGGTAACGTTCTTATTTATTCACAATTAGTTAGTACTAATCTTTGTATTGTTGGGTTTCACAGTAATGTTTGCAAACTGATGTTATTCCTCATGCGAGCATTATTTTATACAGATACACCATTTTGTATGTCTACAGAAAGTGTTTCAAGTTCTGTAAGTGGTGCATTCTCTTCAGCTGCATCAGAGAGCCTCGCCCGGCGCGCGCAAGCCACTGTCCAAGACCCCATCTTCCAGAAGATGAAGACTCAATTTACTAGCGACTTCGATTTTTCACAACCCAACGCTATGAAATTACAAAATCTTATACAAAAACTAAGGAAATGGGTCAAGATACTCGAGGCCAAAACTAAGGTTCTGCCCAAGTAAGTAGTAATTAGGCATTGAGCCGAGGTAATGTTGTCAAGGTAAATACAGAGGGATTTCTTTTACGATTGTGCCGTCCATTTTCCATACATAGAAGATAGCATCACTATCATGCGCAATCTAACTTCCATCGCATAGTTTTAGACAGGGTTTTGGCTTCGTGCTTCATTCACTTCAGTAGCTTTTGGGTTCATAATCAGAGCAATTTATTTACTAACAATTATCCTGTCTTCTTTTCAATTCACCATATTCACTATTACTTCATTTTTATTCCAGATCATTCCTTATCGAAGAAAAATGTAGATTTTTATCGAACTTCAGTCTAAAGACCGCAGATGTGGAGTTACCCGGAGAATTTTTGCTGCCGAAGCATATTCATTATCATGTTCGAATTGCCAGATTTATGCCTCGCGTTGAAATTGTCCAAAAACACAACACATCTGCTCGCAGACTTTATATACGCGGTCATAATGGCAAAATATACCCTTATTTAGTGGTTAATGACTCCGGCCTGGGTGACGCGAGAAGAGAAGAACGCGTTCTGCAATTACTGAGGATGTTAAATCATTACTTGGGAAAACAGAAGGAAACATCTAGAAGATTCCTACACTTTACGGTACCACGAGTTGTTTCAGTGTCGCCACAAATGCGGCTCGTAGAAGATAATCCTAGTTCTATATCTCTGCTGGATATTTACAAGACTGAATGTGCTAACAGGTTCGTTCACTAATTACGAAGCTTGACATCTAAAATGTATGAAACATTGTAAAACTTGGTTATTTTTTATAGGGGTGTTGAGTTTGATGCTCCCATTGCTCGTTACTACGAACGTCTAGCGGCTGTTCAAGCGCGCGGTTCACAAGCTTCACATCAAGTTCTGCGAGATATTCTTCGTGAAGTAAGCTAACAAAATATCTTTTTGTAGTTAGTAGCCGGGCAAATTATACTGTTGTGGTGTGTGATCCATAAATTATGATAGATATTTACTGCTAGTAAACCTAGCTAAGAATCAATTTTTATCGTTGTTATCAATAAAACTGGTTTCATATTACAAAAGGTAATGTTTGTAAAATTTAACAAGCACATACATGGTCAAGTAAAATAAAAACACGAACATAATAAAAAAAAAATAAGAAACATGTTGATACTAGCATATTGCAACGAATCTTTCTTGATCTTAACTTACCCTCAGTTTAAAATAATCCATAGACGTAAAGATAACTATTGCAATTTTTGTTTATCTCGCATTACAAGTTAAACAATAACTGGTTGTTTCAATAATTCCTTGTTACATCAACAAAATAAGCTTTAATTTAAACCGTTACCACTTAAGACCTACGTTCTTGCGTCAGGGAACTCTAAAAATATAAGTATTAACAAATATAATTAATACTGCGTGCACGAGTATTCTAATACAAACTACCACTAAACTATGGACAGAGATATTAATGATGATATTTGGAATGAATGTCGAAAATCGATCGAAGAAATGAACCTTCTCTTACATCCTATGTCCATGTAGGTGCAAGCTACAATGGTTCCCAAAGGCATGGTTCGCGAATGGGCCTCAAACACGTTTGGTGCACCGACTGACTACTGGACATTCAGGAAAATGTTAACGCTGCAATTGTCACTCGCGAGCTTCGCCGAGTACGTGTTACATCTCACTAGACTAAACCCTGACATGATGTATGTACACCAAGACTCAGGACTGCTCAACGTCTCCTACTTCAAGTTTGATGTGGACGATACGACTGGTTAGTCCTAATGATATTATAATACCTATTATTATTGAAAATAAGTAGCAATTAATATTATCAAGAGTTTGTTGAAAGTTTCCAGTTACCAATGTCTATTATTTAATCATTTAATATAGATAAAGTCTCAACAGTCCAATGTCAGAATATTAGTAAACGAATATGTTGCTGTAGTAATTTCGAATAAAGAAGAAGAGACGCAAAATCTCGTCACACTTTTTTTGACTATTTTTTTTTGACACTGACAATGTATAAAAAGCTAATTAAGTACCTTATTAGAAATTTTCTTCGCAAGCCACAATTATGCTCTTGATAATAGCACTTCGTCCATCTATGTACCTCGTAGGCTCTATTGTTTAATTAAATAAATTATAAATATATTTTTACTCTTAGGTGAATTAGACTGTAATCGGCCAGTACCCTTCCGACTAACTCCGAATATATCAGAACTGCTAACCAATATTGGAATCACCGGACCTTTGACAGCTTCAGCTATTGCAGTCGCTCGATGTCTCGTCACGCCCAATTTCAAGGTAATATTTATTGAATAATTAAATATATATCATAATTATAGGGTATGCTTAGTTATAGATTATCTTATTGTGACCAAGGTCTTGTGCAGTATCGATGAGAGTAGAACCGAATAGTAAATTTTGGTAGATCACCCCAGATATACACCACGTCGTGCGTTTTATAACATAATGCAGTTTACTAGAGACTAAGACATGTAAAGTTACTGAAGAGACTAAACTTCTCACATACTTTTGCTGTGAGCTGGAAGTACTAAGAGCCTAGCCTGGTTCTGTTCAAAACAGTCAAATATCATAACCTGTGACCTTTCTATGATAAAAGCAATATAAAATACTGCTTGATGGTGACAGAGTGTTATAAAATCGATAGTGCTTATGTTCTAATTTTTTGAGAAAAACATTTTCCATTTTAAAAGCTTTTAGAAGTTGATGTAAAATAAAAAATTTTAGTTGGGTATATTTTGGTTATCCAAATGCACCTAACTAGGAAACTAGCAAAATTGGGTAGTAACAAATATAACTCTCAAGATAGAAAAATAACTAAATGTTTGGTAATAACTTTTGTTTTAAATGTTAGTGAATGCATAATTAAAAGTTTGACTTATTGTTGTCTCTGATGCTTAGACAAAACGTCTGGTCACGGGCATATAGAACAACTTCAAAAGAGAAAGTGTTGTTGTAAATGTTATTCATCTTTATTATCATTATTTTTATAAAAAACAAAATTTATAAATGTTATGACAGTTAAGAGCCGAAAGTCTTATTAAAACTTGTTTCAGATCCAATCCATCTTGAGAACAATTTTAAGGGATGAAATGGTGACAGGCTATCGGAAACGTCTAGAAGACAAATCAGGTATGCCCACAGCCGGGACATCAACTGAGAATAAATCCGCGGAAATGGATAACGAAACCATTATAAACATGGTAAACAAAGCTGTGACGGTAATCATGAACCGTCTCAATTCGTTGGCTTCATTTGATGGACCTGAAAGTAAAGTTGCTACCCTCGTCACTGCAGCCAACAGTCATGACAATCTGTGCCGCATGGATCCGGCCTGGCACCCTTGGCTGTAAATTGTCTTTTTTCGTGATAAATTTTTTAAGAATAATTTTGTATTTTATGTTTTTTTATGTACGACTGTTTGTTACATTGTCACAGAATCTAATACTCAGTCTTCGAAACTGCAATTCGTACTAGCTAGTACTACTAACTAGTAACTTTGTACTTACAAACATGAAACTCCGAATGACGTATGTAATCTGGATTCACGTATTTAAATAATAGAACTAGAAAAACACTACATATTGTTATCACACATATACGCCTATATTAAGAATCTTTGTCATTTCCTATATCAATGTCCTATATTAATTTTAATATTTCTATGTGTTGACATAATATATGTTCGTGATTAGATATAAGGTCGGGGAAAAAGTTTCTTCGTATTTTGTATAAAAATTTAAGGCATTTTTTTTAAAGTTTAACTCTAATATATATGTGCCATTTTGTTCTATAACTTGTTGCCATCTTGTAGGTAGTGACATAATCCCGTGACTGTAGAAATCTTAAGATTTAAAAAAAAAACCGACAAGTAGTTTAGACAGTTCTCTCTTGATGTCAACTTAACACTACCCAAAGAATTTTGAAAAGACCAAAACAGAAAACTGTGGGTGCAAATTCAGGACTATCGTGGATGCATTAACATTCTAAACCAAGCTCTCAATTTTTGCTGAGTAGCCAAAGATGTGTGTGAACTGGCGTTATCATGATGACAGACCACTCCTTTTCTGTTGTTGGTAGTAGAGATCTGAATAGATGGTTTTGCCCGGCGGTAAATGATTATTTATTTCTGTAAGGAAATCATTTCAGCTATTACAAGTCACAGTATTCCAGTTTGGTTCAGATATTTTTACAAGTCGGTTTAAAACCTCATCATAAGCGATGCCCTTCCAATCCTATCATACACACAGCGTCACCTTAGTGTGTTAATCCTGGTTTCGTGATCCTTTTGACCATGATGTTTTTCGCTCATTGTTTTCATGGGTTATCCACTTTTCATCACCTCAATTAATGATAAACCTTTTTAAAAATGGTTCACTTTTATTATGTTTTAATGGAGAATCGCAAATGACCTGAACTAACTGAAATGAACAGAAACCTAATGAATCATGTACCTGCGTACATGATTAATTAGTTTTCTGTTAGTAAGCTCGTATGGCACCCAAATATATTATATATATATTATGCTTTTTTGTATAGCAATACCTTTTTAAATGGATCAAACAAAACTGTTTTGTGATCAATCCTCAGTTCTTCGGCTATGTCGTAACTACTAAAGTGCCAATCTTGCTCCACTTTTTCAAAAATGGCATCGTCTTTATCCGTCTGAGGGCGACCAGAGCGAGCTACTTAACATTATCTTAAAAATACTTAAAATGCCTGGACTGACAACGCTCGAACCAACATTGTGCTGCTCTTATTCATAAACGTGTAATTTTTCCTTTTTCATAATAAAACTAGTATATTGAATTTCTCCGTTTGATTTACTCATTTTAGCAGACAGAAAAACAATTGAAAAAACCCGGGAAAGGGTTTTTTACTTTTCTTTTTCTTATTAGCCTGGATTTATTGATATTTAAACCAGCCAGATACAAACAGTGCAACCAGAGATTCTTCTATAATTTTATAAATACAAAATACGAAGAGACTTTTTCTCGGACCTATTATATTATAACAACGTTAGATTTAAGCAAACTCAAACAAATGTATTCATTATTAAAATTATGTGATCTCATTTAGGTTTTATTTTTGCCTTACTCTTATCTTCATACCTGTTTGCGCAAAACCAGTTAGTCGTCTGACACACATCAAGAGAAGGTCTGATTGCATGCGCATGAGTGACAGCTAAGTACCTGTATGGGTGAAAGTACAGGGACAGCATCAAGTGCGCTAGTAATAGCGTATCTCACTCGGTCGTTAGAGATAGTAAAACTGATTTCATCACGTTAACAATGGGAAAGAAAGTGCACTAATTGCAGACTTGAACAGATGCTGAAAAATTCGGTGATATTAGAGTTTATGCTAAGTTGTGGCAACTACTTTCGACAGATTTCATTAAGGGGCATATAACTGTTACACGGTGTGAGTGACTGAAAACTAGGTAAAAATAAGTTTTTTTTTATTTATTTCGTTTACACCATATTTTAGACATAGCCAGTCAGGCTAATTTACACACTGAAATTTGTAGTACCTACTGGAAATAACATATTTGTTCAATACACTATAAAAATGCTCGGTATGGGTTTTTACTTGTTAGTCTTAATTTTCATTTAAAACCAATGCCAACTAATGGTACATATTACGTGATGCCTTAGTTAGGTTCTCTTTTTAACTATGTATCTGCCTGTTGCCTGCCTGCTCCACCCGCCAAACCGTGATCTAATTCTGTACCTAGATACTGGAACTTCGGACATGCTGCAGCTAGTGTTATACAAATAGCCTTTATTACTGATAAATAATTACATTTCCTTACAATTCAATGATAATCATTATTTCCATTTAAAAATACATTATAATTATACAATACAATAGCAATCATGCATGAATTGAATAAAATTCTAATCTACGACATCGGTAACCTTACAAACGGCAAACATATTGCCGTTTGGCATTGGCCTCCCTTAAGTTCTTCCATATTTCCCTATTTGTGGCTTTCCTTTGCCATGTTATCCCATCTTACTTTTTGACATCCTTTTTTTCCTTTTCCATCTCGAGGGTACCATACAGTAACTTTTTTTGTCCATTTTTCCTTCTTGTTTCTCATCATATGGCCAACCCAATCCCACTAAGTTTTTTCACTGTTAAACTTCCCATATTTACATGGACAGGTTTGTAGAAACTAATCGTTATTAATTAGCAGTATTGAGCCCAGAAACAACTGGAAAGATTGGAATTGTACATCCACTCCGCTTTTGCTCTAAAACAGCTGGTACGTCGATCAAAATGATTGTGGGAAGTGAGTTCTTGTACTGCCTCCTGGGAAGATTTTTTTTATCACGTAGAACAATTGTACAAATATCGAAAAAAATGGTAGTACGTTGGAACAAGGTCTGGCGAGTACGCAGGCTGATGTATGGTTTCTAACTACAGCTCCTGTAGAGTTAACACGGTTTCTTGGGCAGGGTAAGATCTTGCGTTATCATGGCGCAATAATGCTGAAGATGGATTCACTAGTCTTGGCTGTTTCACCGCCAGTTTTGTCATCAATGTTCGAAGTTCGAGACAGTAAACATCTGCTGTTATTGCCTGACCAGATCTAAGAAAGCTATAGTGAATAACACCATGAAGAGACCACCAAACAATTACCATTCTCTTTTTATGGCGTTTGACATGGGGTCAGCCTTTGCATTTTGAGCTTACAGTTATCGTAAACAATCTACTTTTCGTCGTATGTCACAATTCGATCTAATATTCCTTCATTTCTGTACTGATTCAACAAGGCAACACGAGTTTTAACACGCATTTTTTTCTGCAGATCTGTCAAATTATGAGGCACCCACTTTAATATTTTTTTATATTATTGATTTGATGCAAACGAGTGAATATTGTAAGTAGGATAATGTTAAACCATGCTGCTTATTCCTGGGTAGTTTGACTCAGATCGGTTTCCACCATCTTCAATTCAGCGTTATTCACCTGTGTGGGCGGTCTTCCACGACGGATTTTAGAAGTATCCATCTTTCACGTCCAAGCTGAATAAAAAAAAAACAATTGTAAGTCGAAAATCTAATGTTGCACATTGTTTAAAAGAAGAACTTCTACATAATGTATTATGTGAAAAAAGTTTCACATGAAAATCTCACACCATGAAGGTTTTATGTCAATTCAAAGTATCTATTACCTATACAACAGCAATTTCATACTTTAACCCCTATTATTTAAGTCTATTTGGTATACGGGAAAGCAGTTAAAACCTATAATCGACATAGTCTAGTTTGTCTCAAAAGCCTGTCTTAAATGTTAAGTGTTTCGTCTCTTAAATATGTATGTACATCACTCTATATGGCGTCTATATTGAATGAATAAACACTCGTCTAGACGTCAACTATACATAAATATAAAATCATACTTACCTACCTCAGCCACCAAGGCTGACAATAGCAAAAATTTAAAGAGGTCTAGCTAAGGTAGCCACATCTGTTTTGGACGTTGATTTTTGTGTATAAATTTTATTACCATGATTGTTAGGAGATCAGATATGTCTGTTGCTCTAGAAGGTATGTGACATGAGGTCGGCGACGGGTGTCGCGGCAGGCACCAACGACGGCGGCGTCGCCGTCGTTGCGTTGCTAAGCGGCGGCGGCGGGCGGGCGGCGGCCACGTAGTCGGCGGCGCGCGCCGCCCGCCTCCCGCTCCACTCCTCGTCGCGCCTCCCGCCCGCTTCTGCCTCTATCAGTCCGCTTCGCGGCGTCACGTTATGCGTTGGTGTATTGCATGTTCCCGAGCTCGAACGGCGAGTGTCCGACCTCTGTAACCGACGTTTATGACATTCGACAACCCCGCCCTGTGCATTTTTCCGAGTTGCATTTCGATCAGTGCGAAGAGTACGTCGGCAACGAGCAATCCGTGCAGGAGTAGGTGGCTCCTCTCGCGGTTATTTATGTTGTCGTTTTGGTGTGGTGCATATTTGTGTTGTACGGACGATAACCGTATTATCTGTGCGATCGAGTCAAGTGGATATTTTTAACGATCGACGACTTCTCGCAAAGGTGAGTAAAATTTTTGATTCTGCGAATATCAACCGTCTCGTTTGATCTGCGCCGCTACGTGGCCAAATCCACCACATCGAAACGGACACACCGGATACACCAAGGACTGAACTTTTCTTTTATATGTACTTATAGAGCGATGCATCTTACACAATCGCATCCCTTATCCATATCTCGCCCTTTCTCGCAACTTCGTTAAAGTCTTGACCAGACAGTTTAGGTACCTATAAAACTTCGTACCTATAAAAGTATCGAGATTTTTCTTTGGTGTAAGTCGCGTTTATAATTCTTTAGTATCGCATTTA